TAGTCTTCCCCTCCTGCTTTCCTTCTTGTTCTCCTTGTGCTCGTTGGTGCCTCTCATCAGACGGATTACTCGCGGGTTCCGATTGACTTGATCTCAGTATACTTGAGTCTCCCTGACCAGCCATTGGTATATCCAGAGCCCGACTGCCGCCGGCTCTCCCGTCGCCGTCGGATCCTCCGAGTCATCGGCGGATGTGTCCACACGTTCTCCTCGTCCATGTGCATCTATTGGCGGCGCTCCCGAAGACTCATGAACAAGTACAAATCCGCTTGCAAATTCTAGCGCTTTATTTCCCCTTTCACGCTCCCCGATTTGCTGGCTATTTTGCAAACAACATAAGTACCATTCATACGTTGTTATTAACGGTAGACTGATACAGACAACGACGGATAAATCCGGGCGACACTAAAATCCGGAGGGCAAAGTCGTGCAGTGTACAACAGCGTCGTGTCAGCGAATCAGATTTGACCAGTAGACTTGGTCTTTGTATAGCACATGTTTTCGTGTACTTTATATGGATTGTTGTGTGTTTTATGAACATTGTTGTGTATTTTATGTCGGTCAAAAGTGTTTTTACAGTGGAAACGGACGGGGATTTCATTGCATTTTACTATGGGCTATGGCATTCAGTGATCCTGGGTTTTTCCGTCGTTGTCTGTACACCTGACCTGTGGTTCGAATGCCAGAACACTTGTATTTTACTTACTTAGGTAAGTGTAATAGCAGAATGTGCACACTGGCACAACGAAAAGGGAATAAGGGGTTAACTTTCGATGTTTCAATTTCGTGGTGTGTTCATTTTCAGAGTGAAAATACGAGCGACTTATTCCAGTAATCTTTCGCGATCCATGTTGAAATTCTTCCTCCAGATGTCATCTACACCCAGCCGCAATGGCCAATGTTGCTGCCGCGACTATGACATGCACGGCTGTTCAAAGTTGTTAGTCTGCACGCGTAGGTAGATAACCTCATGCACGTTGAGCGCAATAAGGAAACATATATAATGAACGAAAACTAGCTCAAAATAATGCAGTTGAGCCCGATATCGTACCATCACACATGCATGTAGGGTATCAAAGCAGAGCTGTGACGCCCGAGATCGGCCCAACAGAACTGTAATTGAGTGGACTAATGCATTTGCTTAGTCGAACATCTTTTCATGAGCAACGCAATGAATGCGTGAATTAACGCAGACTAGAAAGGAGCAAATAATCGGTGCCTTTTGCGTGCAGGAAGGACTTGGAGCTGTCTGATTTCTTTATAGCGAAGTAGCAGGCGAGCTCGAACGGGCCAGAAGAGAGCCATTGTTGCTACCAAGAAGCACCGACACGGACTCCGGCTCGTACGCCCCAGCTCATCGTCCAGCTCGTCATCCGCGCATAGCCTTCAATGTAATTTAGAGAAGTTGCTGCTTGACAGTACCCGGTCCTCAGCATGCAAAGCTGCTTGCTACTTGGCGTAGCGTTGGCGCTTCCTTGAGGCTCTGCTTGTTGATGCTTGGGCTCTCTGCTGTGCGCTGGTCAAGCGATCCCGAAGGGCCGCAGACTTCTTACCAACGGCCGCAGAGCGATCCTTCTTACGACAGCATAAGGTTTGAAAGGCAAATAGGCTTAATAAAGGGTCCTAAGCGGGTCCAAATAAGGGTAAAATGTCACGTTTAAGTCTATTTCTGATGTCCTCCATACTAACAGTCGAATTTGCTGTTTCATAACTTCGACCCTCTGGTTTTATGGCATCTAAAGATAGTGACGTCGGTTCAGCTCAGAAAAATCCGTGCCGATACCACCTTCCGATAAGCATCCAAATGTTGTTTAACCGAGGTATTTTTTCATTTTTTGGTCCCCGTGTGAGCGATTCTAAATTGTGACCCTAACCCATTCGCAGAAATAATGTAAAAAGTAAAGAGGAGTGTATATAAGAGACTAGGGGGGACTTCGTCCCCAATTATTATGAGGGGAGTTATGGCAATTATTGAAACCACCGTATATTATTAGGAATCACTGGCCTTGGCAAGATGAATTGGTGATATACACGCACAATTTAGCACCCAGTCGACCGAAAGCGAGTTATATGGGTTTCTAATGGATGTATGAACCAGTATATGCCAGCATAGCGAAGTTTTGATGCACGTCGCAAACAATTTCTCCATTATGACACAGGGCACGACCAATTGCCATGGCACCAAAGCGTGCCATGCACGGCACTTTCATGGCACCAGTGACCTAAACCTTAGGAGCTCTTGGCCAATGAAAATGGACATGGCATGGCACGAATGGCACGCGGTTAGAACTAGGCCCTTAGGATATGATCTAGGAAATGGCTGCGGGAATCACTCCAGTCGTGTTTATCCAGACAACGTCGTTCGAACACATTACCGGTACAGACAACGACGCAGAAATCCGACACCAATCCATGGTATCCCCCATACTCAAATTACGATTTATACTGTGAACACCCGAAGAATGAGGGGGTGGACAGCTCCCAACGGATTAATTGGACGCGTAAGCGTAACCTGGCGCAACCTTCGTGCTACATCAGCCAGAGGATGTCGACCGAGCAGGTTCAACGGCAACTTTCAGCAAGACAGACTGAGGCAGGAAATGCACGTCAACAGACCCATGCACCAGCTTCAGAAAGTGAACTGCGGCACGCGCGATATTCATGGGAGTGGCCCCACAGGGGCCACGCCCTTGAATCACGCGTGTCAATGAACGAGTCCATAGGCGCGTTTACTATAGGCTACAGTGGAGCCGTCGTAGGTCGGCGTGTCAGGATTTGATATTGGGCCGACCAATTTTTGCAGATTAGGTAGTGGATTTGATTTGGAGTTTTAATAGTGACCGACCAATTTTTGATTTGTAGGAATGTATCCGACCAAATTGCAAATCACAGAACTCAAGTTTCTCGACGACGCCGCAAGGACCCTCGCTCCTCCCTCCAGGCTGGGGCGTAACTAGGCCCTAACGTTTGCCTCCATGCCCCCCTTAGAAAAAGGCTCTGGTTATGTCCCTGCCTCCAGCCTTACGCGCACTGTAGATCTCGTGCCCAAGCGGGCCCACCGGCGTTTAACCGGACGTCGCAGACTACATGTACGCATGCAGCTTCTCTAGAGACTGACACGCTCCATTAATTAACGGCGGAGGGCGTCACATGTAGCCAAGTTGTTGGCGGCCATGCTGAGGCGGTGAACTGGGCATTCGGTGGTGGACAGCCCAGTTACCTAAAAGTAAGCTGCTCGTGCTGGGTGTCCTCATACCGGTAATGCTGTCGACACAAGGCAAGAGGCATACCGGTCGAGCTTGAAGTCGCCGCAGTTGTTTTGTGGTGGCTTCACTCTTCGCGCTTGGCTTGCAGCGACTCCTACTTGGTTCGTGCGTATTTTCGCTTGCATGAGGAAGGATCGTGGGCTGGAGCTGTGGATGTCAAGCACCGGGAAATGCCTTGTGTACCGGTTGCGCGTGTATCGATTTGACTGTTGTCTGGTGGGGAACACGTCGGGCTGTCGCAGAATGGGCATGTGGACTGACACGGTGGTCGAGGAGGAAATGGCAGAGCGTATCAGCAACAAGGACATCACTGTGGGCACAAGCTGATTGACGAACGCGCAAACGGAGGTGCTGTTAAGCTTCGGCGGCGTCCAGGTGTCTGATGTTTCCGGCCTTGAGCGACGTCCAAGACGGCAGCAACGACCCGGGTTGTGGCTGCGAAGACATGTTGGGACCGGTGAGTAACCAGGAAAGCAGCGAAGCGTATCAGCCCCTTGCAAGACTAATGCTTCAAGTCTGCGAACAGAGCTGGCAGTCTTGGAGCAAAGTTCTACAATCCAAATCAGCAAGGGTGGATGCATCGATCATACTCACACCAACAGATAGTTGAGGTTTATACCGAGTTTTTGGTGTGTTTCGTTGAAACTAATTGGCTTAAACGTGGGAGCTCATTCTAGATTCCCGCAGGTGGGCCCTCAGTACGCCTCTGGATGGCGAGAAGCATGTTCAACAGTCTCCTAGAACGGAAACGCTTTCCACTTAGAAGATAACACCTCGTGCTCGTTGAATTGCATTTTTAAGCGCGAGAAATGCCTGTGAAATTGTTGTGTGGCCCATTGGCAGGTTGGCACATCACATACCTACCATTTGGTGCAGAAATCCCGACATTGCGGTCTCAATGTCGAAGTGTGCGGACAACCGAACTCGCGTTTCATCCATTCAGAACATATATCCCCAACTGAAAAGCGTAGTTGGCCTCACCAACGTACTGAAACATTTCAATTTTCCACACCGTCCAATGTTCATATAATGTTGCTCGAACGATGTTAGCTACAGTTGTAAATCTTGCTTATGTAAGCAGGAACAGGATGGTGGCTTGTAGGTATTCTGTTCCATTCCCGTTCGTCATAGATATTGGTAGGAGCGATTCAAATCACGTTTAACTTGCTCACATACATTTGTCTAAGTTTCCTATCGTGTTTCCCCTTTTTTTTTCAGCGTCGCGCGGGGGTGCAAATTGCACCGTGCAATAGTAATCTATTTGAGTTTATGCCAAGTAGACAACTGGAATACTGTACAGCAATTCAGCGCACGTTTGGCCGATATGTTTGTCATGTAGGGATGCGATACAATATCTCAGTATAAAGCGGGGTTTACGGAGTTTCTATCATCACCCTCGGAAATACACTCTACAGCTTCGTTGACAAGTCCCCCCTGCAGAAGTTGGCAGCCACCCGATCGACCGTCCTTAGCGAAACGCGTTGCAGGAGAACAACGTTATGGTGACTGTCAGCTGTCCTCCGTTGTGTTGACTTTGTTACACTACAAGTCTGTCGCTGTCGACTTTATCGCAAAATTCCAGATGAAAAGGGTCGTAGCAAAAGAGCATACTTTCTTCAAGTGACATGATCTATCTGTGCGCGACGCTCCGACTTTTTGTGCGTCTCCATCAACAATCTGTTTTGCTCCGCGGCTCAGGGTGGACGAACGGAGACCCTAAGACGTGGTGACGGACGGGACCCCATGAGGACCTCCGTGCACGTCTCGAGCTGCCGCTTCCTGCGTCTCGGCTGTCGGAACGACGAGCACGAGCTCTTCGCGCCGTCCTACGCCAGGTGCGTCCTCCATCTTGGCCGGTCGGACGTCAGCACACAAAGCCGGTCGGCCTCCTTTCTGTGACGTCCGCGTGTAGCTAACTCGAACGCTCTGTCGCGCGCGCACGTATCGTGTCAATATGCATCGCCATGATATGACCCGGTAGGAGCAACAAAAAGCGCAGCTCGAAGGTACAGCAAGACCCATGCCATGGATGATAGGAACCAGTCGAGATATTTTTCCGTCTCATGTATTTGTACTGTATTATACTATACCTACCGTGTGAATCTAACGTGGCGCTTTGATGCATGCCTTCGTGGTTGTCCTTCACTACTGTACTATCAAAGCTGCTGCGCTGCTTCCCGCATTGCTGTCCAGACCACGTCACGCGCAGCTACTGCGGGTGCTCACTGCATTTGCTCGTCACGTTCGCGTCCGCCGATGAAACAGCCGCAGCCGAGCGGAACGAGGATTTGATTGTGTGCGCACGGTTTGAGACCGCCGTCACGGTGGCTGTGTCGGGCGCGGGGGAGGTTGTCACGGCGTTGCCCACCGACTCCATCGTGGCGCTGCCTGGGAGTGCCATACAGCAATCCGAGTCTGAGAACGACTGGCTGCGCGCTGAGAAAGCCAACGACGTGTACCAGCAGCAACTGCCAGTGGTGCGTACCAACTGCAGTACATGTATTTGGCATGAGAGCTCGTACTATCATTGCTGTCACCGACGGCGCTGGGTCGTATTGTTTCGCCTGCTGATCTGTTTGGTTGCCTGTCGCGCAGAATACCATTTTGTATGTGCTCAACAACCACCGCAATCCGCAGTGGTACTACGGGTACGAGAGCGGGTCTACGAAGGCCCAGCGCGAGATGAAACACGTGCTGGCTGCGTACGTGTTCCTACTTCACCCACCGCCTGAGCGTAGTCGGCCTCAGAAAGACAGTCGAGGTGCAAGTGCGGCTTTACCAGTCGCGCGCCTAGCCACTGTGGTTTCTCGTCTGGCGTCGCCAGCGTTCACGATGATCTCGTACCGCCGGCAGAATACTGCGCACCGAACTGCACGCGTCCAAGCATCCGAAAAGGAAAGCACGGCTGGGAGCCTGCTTTCGGACGATGGAGAAGGCGTCGCAGAGATCGACGCAATGGCGATATCTGAAGCTGCCAAAGTGTCGTGGGAATCAGTAGGATCTCCTGCCACGCTGGCTGTAGACTCCGGCGCACTTCAAACTGCCACAGTCAAGCGCATCCAGTTGGCAGCTCTCCAGGACGATGAAGCAACTTCAACCTCGGTTCAAACTGGCGAGGCAGAGGAAGGCGCTGATGCGCAGCAAGATGAGGAATGGGGATCAAGTCGTTATTCGCCACAAGTGCCGCCGCTGGGTCTAAAGTCGAGCCTCACTTGTCCTGTTTGTCGTGAGCCACTCTCCCTTCGGTCTCATACTCTACAACGCGGTACTATCGAAATGCTGCAGCCGTTGCTCCTGCTTCATCTCCTCCTGCGCTCTGTACCGTTGAGAACATTCACTTTCTACTTCAGTCAGATGGATTTCCGCATCCAGCGCCGATGGCTGGCGAAGATCCCGCCCGTGAATCGGACTGAGCAACTCGGCGCAACTGCTGACACCACCGCGCACACGTTGGTGGCGGAGATCGCCTCGGTCTTCGCCCTGTCGACCTTTGTGCGTGGATGTTCAGTGGCCGAGAGCGTGGCGGCAAATAATCCGCTGCGTGAGCAAGTCGTCCTGCGGTCTTGCGCCGACTTGGTTCTGGACGCGTTCTCGTCACTGCGGGTGCAGCAAATACTGTCGGCGGCCACTCAAGCGGACAGCGAGGCCGCTACGAGCACCCCATTGCCCGAGTCGTGCGCACGATTTGACCGGTTGGTCGGCGATATATTTGAAGAATTCACGCAGCTACTAGCAGCCAGAAGCAGCAACAACTCGTACTTCGGCGAGCAATCACACTCTGGTCACGTTTCACTTTCAGCGCTTGTGGACGACATTCTGTCCCTGGTGTACGCGGAGCCGAAGTACTCTTTTCTTCGCAGCACTGCGTCTGCGCTGTTGCTTCGGAAGGACGAGTCGTTGGAAAGAGCTTCGCACGAGTTGTTTCGGGCGTTCTTACAGCAGCTAGAACAAGGCCGTGGTAAGTTATGGTCGCACGACCAGTTCAAGGAGGTCCCGGAGAGTACCGCCAGCGCAAACGCCCCCGCCTTAGCATTGAGCTCCACCACAGAGGTCCAGATGATACCACCGCAGGCAGCTCACTTGATCGATCCCAGATACCAACATGAAGTGGCTGCCCCAATCCCAGTGAAACAATCGACCAACGAGTGGGGGAGGCGCTGGTTTCTCGCCCCATCATCGATCTCCATCGTCCCTCTGGACATCACACCGGGCGACGAAAGCAACAACGCCGATCTCCTCGCTTCGTTGCCCAACGCCAGCACTTCTTCCGACTTCTCTGTGCTGACGGTGATCGCACTCGTCCGGACGCTGGCAAGTGTGGATGTGGCGCTGGAAGGAACGCGTCTCAGTATTGGGTCCGCCTCGTGCGATAGTGTCCAAGAACCTGAGACGATACCAAACACCGTGCTGGAGTTGGACGGCCAGGTACACGAGTTCGAGACGTTCCCCAACGGCTGGTGCGTCGCGGCTGGCTCCGTCGTGTTAGGCGACGCCTGCAGCTTCAGTCTGTACGAAGGCCGCGTCGCAGACGATGGCGCATCTCTGGAGCTGTTGCTGTTTTCCCTCCCGACGTCCTCGATACAGTGCTGGCTCTCGAGTCGCAGCGACGAGATTCCAGAGGGGATGGCTCGTCGAGTACGAGCGCGACTGGTTCTGGGTAGAGGGCGGAGGGAGGAGGAGAGATGCGTGTCTGTATTTGCAGAGGTTTGCAGTGCTGCGCCTTCTCACTGGCAGTTGCAGGCTCCCCAGCAGCCATCACCGGGGTCGCGGACGAGCGTGGACGCGGAGGATTACCTGGACGAAATGTCGGCATTGGGTTGGTCTCCGACCGTTGAGGTGCACGCGACGTATGTGGGCGTGGCGGCCCTACCATAGCAGCGGTCGACGGTACCGGTTGGTTGATGTAGGTAGAGCGGTGGGCGTGCATTTGGAAGGTGGCGATGCTGGTCTTGCCTTCGTTGAGCAGCATGTTGTCTCGCTTCACGTCGTCCGCCGGGCATTATGAAGACGACGACACAGCGTCTTCCGTTTCGTTTTTAGTGGCTGATCAAATTTTGATTGTAGAAAAGTGTCCGACCAAATCGTAAGTTGCAATTCGCAAATCGCAGCTATCAAATTGGATTTGCTAGTGGTGGACAATACGTGTCCAAGACGACGCTCTGCCACTTGCATGAACGGACTCGACTGAACGGAGTGTGCTACAGCGTCTCGAGTTGCCGCCACTTCAGAACCAACAGAGGCATAAGCCCGCGGTGGCCATTTGTCACTGAGCTGGATGCGTGGTTGTAGGATGACCTCGTCGTCCTACCGGATCCTACCCTTCGACACCAACCATGAAGTTTTTGTGTCGGATGCAAGACTAGCTCGTGCGGCCACGTAGTGCGCAGCTTAGACACTGCAAAACATGTAGCCAACACTGTTTAGGCAAGTCCAGGCAAGTGGCAGAGCGTCGTCTTGGACACGTATTGTCCACCACTAGCAAATCCAATTTGATAGCTGCGATTTGCGAATTGCAACTTACGATTTGGTCGGACACTTTTCTACAATCAAAATTTGATCAGCCACTAAAAACGAAACGGAAGACGCTGTGTCGTCGTCTTCATAATGCCCGGCGGACGACGTGAAGCGAGACAACATGCTGCTCAACGAAGGCAAGACCAGCATCGCCACCTTCCAAATGCACGCCCACCGCTCTACCTACATCAACCAACCGGTACCGTCGACCGCTGCTATGGTAGGGCCGCCACGCCCACATACGTCGCGTGCACCTCAACGGTCGGAGACCAACCCAATGCCGACATTTCGTCCAGGTAATCCTCCGCGTCCACGCTCGTCCGCGACCCCGGTGATGGCTGCTGGGGAGCCTGCAACTGCCAGTGAGAAGGCGCAGCACTGCAAACCTCTGCAAATACAGACACGCATCTCTCCTCCTCCCTCCGCCCTCTACCCAGAACCAGTCGCGCTCGTACTCGACGAGCCATCCCCTCTGGAATCTCGTCGCTGCGACTCGAGAGCCAGCACTGTATCGAGGACGTCGGGAGGGAAAACAGCAACAGCTCCAGAGATGCGCCATCGTCTGCGACGCGGCCTTCGTACAGACTGAAGCTGCAGGCGTCGCCTAACACGACGGAGCCAGCCGCGACGCACCAGCCGTTGGGGAACGTCTCGAACTCGTGTACCTGGCCGTCCAACTCCAGCACGGTGTTTGGTATCGTCTCAGGTTCTTGGACACTATCGCACGAGGCGGACCCAATACTGAGACGCGTTCCTTCCAGCGCCACATCCACACTTGCCAGCGTCCGGACGAGTGCGATCACCGTCAGCACAGAGAAGTCGGAAGAAGTGCTGGCGTTGGGCAACGAAGCGAGGAGATCGGCGTTGTTGCTTTCGTCGCCCGGTGTGATGTCCAGAGGGACGATGGAGATCGATGATGGGGCGAGAAACCAGCGCCTCCCCCACTCGTTGGTCGATTGTTTCACTGGGATTGGGGCAGCCACTTCATGTTGGTATCTGGGATCGATCAAGTGAGCTGCCTGCGGTGGTATCATCTGGACCTCTGTGGTGGAGCTCAATGCTAAGGCGGGGGCGTTTGCGCTGGCGGTACTCTCCGGGACCTCCTTGAACTGGTCGTGCGACCATAACTTACCACGGCCTTGTTCTAGCTGCTGTAAGAACGCCCGAAACAACTCGTGCGAAGCTCTTTCCAACGACTCGTCCTTCCGAAGCAACAGCGCAGACGCAGTGCTGCGAAGAAAAGAGTACTTCGGCTCCGCGTACACCAGGGACAGAATGTCGTCCACAAGCGCTGAAAGTGAAACGTGACCAGAGTGTGATTGCTCGCCGAAGTACGAGTTGTTGCTGCTTCTGGCTGCTAGTAGCTGCGTGAATTCTTCAAATATATCGCCGACCAACCGGTCAAATCGTGCGCACGACTCGGGCAATGGGGTGCTCGTAGCGGCCTCGCTGTCCGCTTGAGTGGCCGCCGACAGTATTTGCTGCACCCGCAGTGACGAGAACGCGTCCAGAACCAAGTCGGCGCAAGACCGCAGGACGACTTGCTCACGCAGCGGATTATTTGCCGCCACGCTCTCGGCCACTGAACATCCACGCACAAAGGTCGACAGGGCGAAGACCGAGGCGATCTCCGCCACCAACGTGTGCGCGGTGGTGTCAGCAGTTGCGCCGAGTTGCTCAGTCCGATTCACGGGCGGGATCTTCGCCAGCCATCGGCGCTGGATGCGGAAATCCATCTGACTGAAGTAGAAAGTGAATGTTCTCAACGGTACAGAGCGCAGGAGGAGATGAAGCAGGAGCAACGGCTGCAGCATTTCGATAGTACCGCGTTGTAGAGTATGAGACCGAAGGGAGAGTGGCTCACGACAAACAGGACAAGTGAGGCTCGACTTTAGACCCAGCGGCGGCACTTGTGGCGAATAACGACTTGATCCCCATTCCTCATCTTGCTGCGCATCAGCGCCTTCCTCTGCCTCGCCAGTTTGAACCGAGGTTGAAGTTGCTTCATCGTCCTGGAGAGCTGCCAACTGGATGCGCTTGACTGTGGCAGTTTGAAGTGCGCCGGAGTCTACAGCCAGCGTGGCAGGAGATCCTACTGATTCCCACGACACTTTGGCAGCTTCAGATATCGCCATTGCGTCGATCTCTGCGACGCCTTCTCCATCGTCCGAAAGCAGGCTCCCAGCCGTGCTTTCCTTTTCGGATGCTTGGACGCGTGCAGTTCGGTGCGCAGTATTCTGCCGGCGGTACGAGATCATCGTGAACGCTGGCGACGCCAGACGAGAAACCACAGTGGCTAGGCGCGCGACTGGTAAAGCCGCACTTGCACCTCGACTGTCTTTCTGAGGCCGACTACGCTCAGGCGGTGGGTGAAGTAGGAACACGTACGCAGCCAGCACGTGTTTCATCTCGCGCTGGGCCTTCGTAGACCCGCTCTCGTACCCGTAGTACCACTGCGGATTGCGGTGGTTGTTGAGCACATACAAAATGGTATTCTGCGCGACAGGCAACCAAACAGATCAGCAGGCGAAACAATACGACCCAGCGCCGTCGGTGACAGCAATGATAGTACGAGCTCTCATGCCAAATACATGTACTGCAGTTGGTACGCACCACTGGCAGTTGCTGCTGGTACACGTCGTTGGCTTTCTCAGCGCGCAGCCAGTCGTTCTCAGACTCGGATTGCTGTATGGCACTCCCAGGCAGCGCCACGATGGAGTCGGTGGGCAACGCCGTGACAACCTCCCCCGCGCCCGACACAGCCACCGTGACGGCGGTCTCAAACCGTGCGCACACAATCAAATCCTCGTTCCGCTCGGCTGCGGCTGTTTCATCGGCGGACGCGAACGTGACGAGCAAATGCAGTGAGCACCCGCAGTAGCTGCGCGTGACGTGGTCTGGACAGCAATGCGGGAAGCAGCGCAGCAGCTTTGATAGTACAGTAGTGAAGGACAACCACGAAGGCATGCATCAAAGCGCCACGTTAGATTCACACGGTAGGTATAGTATAATACAGTACAAATACATGAGACGGAAAAATATCTCGACTGGTTCCTATCATCCATGGCATGGGTCTTGCTGTACCTTCGAGCTGCGCTTTTTGTTGCTCCTACCGGGTCATATCATGGCGATGCATATTGACACGATACGTGCGCGCGCGACAGAGCGTTCGAGTTAGCTACACGCGGACGTCACAGAAAGGAGGCCGACCGGCTTTGTGTGCTGACGTCCGACCGGCCAAGATGGAGGACGCACCTGGCGTAGGACGGCGCGAAGAGCTCGTGCTCGTCGTTCCGACAGCCGAGACGCAGGAAGCGGCAGCTCGAGACGTGCACGGAGGTCCTCATGGGGTCCCGTCCGTCACCACGTCTTAGGGTCTCCGTTCGTCCACCCTGAGCCGCGGAGCAAAACAGATTGTTGATGGAGACGCACAAAAAGTCGGAGCGTCGCGCACAGATAGATCATGTCACTTGAAGAAAGTATGCTCTTTTGCTACGACCCTTTTCATCTGGAATTTTGCGATAAAGTCGACAGCGACAGACTTGTAGTGTAACAAAGTCAACACAACGGAGGACAGCTGACAGTCACCATAACGTTGTTCTCCTGCAACGCGTTTCGCTAAGGACGGTCGATCGGGTGGCTGCCAACTTCTGCAGGGGGGACTTGTCAACGAAGCTGTAGAGTGTATTTCCGAGGGTGATGATAGAAACTCCGTAAACCCCGCTTTATACTGAGATATTGTATCGCATCCCTACATGACAAACATATCGGCCAAACGTGCGCTGAATTGCTGTACAGTATTCCAGTTGTCTACTTGGCATAAACTCAAATAGATTACTATTGCACGGTGCAATTTGCACCCCCGCGCGACGCTGAAAAAAAAAGGGGAAACACGATAGGAAACTTAGACAAATGTATGTGAGCAAGTTAAACGTGATTTGAATCGCTCCTACCAATATCTATGACGAACGGGAATGGAACAGAATACCTACAAGCCACCATCCTGTTCCTGCTTACATAAGCAAGATTTACAACTGTAGCTAACATCGTTCGAGCAACATTATATGAACATTGGACGGTGTGGAAAATTGAAATGTTTCAGTACGTTGGTGAGGCCAACTACGCTTTTCAGTTGGGGATATATGTTCTGAATGGATGAAACGCGAGTTCGGTTGTCCGCACACTTCGACATTGAGACCGCAATGTCGGGATTTCTGCACCAAATGGTAGGTATGTGATGTGCCAACCTGCCAATGGGCCACACAACAATTTCACAGGCATTTCTCGCGCTTAAAAATGCAATTCAACGAGCACGAGGTGTTATCTTCTAAGTGGAAAGCGTTTCCGTTCTAGGAGACTGTTGAACATGCTTCTCGCCATCCAGAGGCGTACTGAGGGCCCACCTGCGGGAATCTAGAATGAGCTCCCACGTTTAAGCCAATTAGTTTCAACGAAACACACCAAAAACTCGGTATAAACCTCAACTATCTGTTGGTGTGAGTATGATCGATGCATCCACCCTTGCTGATTTGGATTGTAGAACTTTGCTCCAAGACTGCCAGCTCTGTTCGCAGACTTGAAGCATTAGTCTTGCAAGGGGGCTGATACGCTTCGCTGCTTTCCTGGTTACTCACCGGTCCCAACATGTCTTCGCAGCCACAACCCGGGTCGTTGCTGCCGTCTTGGACGTCGCTCAAGGCCGGAAACATCAGACACCTGGACGCCGACGAAGCTTGACAGCACATCCGTTTGCGCGTTCGTCAATTGTTGGTTTTTAGCTTGTGGTTGAGGGGGCAAATTCCGAAGTGAGATTAAATGTTATCGTCTCTCAAACTACTATCTAGTCTTCCCCTCCTGCTTTCCTTCTTGTTCTCCTTGTGCTCGTTGGTGCCTCTCATCAGACGGATTACTCCCGGGTTCCGATTGACTTGATCTCAGTATACTTGGGTCTCCCTGACCAGCCATTGGTATATCCAGAGCCCGACTGCCGCCGGCTCTCCCGTCGCCGTCGGATCCTCCGAGTCATCGGCGGATGTGTCCACACGTTCTCCTCGTCCATGTGCATCTATTGGCGGCGCTCCCGAAGACTCATGAACACTCCCACTCGCCGCTAATGCTGCACGACCGTCCCGACGATTCCGCTTGCGCTGATCAGGTACTTGAGCATCTTCGTCCCCAACGCCTTGGTAAGCATGTCCGCGAGCTGGTCCTCCGTCGGCACGTAGTTGACGACGATGAGTCCTCGGGACACATTCTCGCGGATGAAGTGATGCTTGATGTCCACGTGCTTGGTCCTCGCGTTGTACCCAGCGTTGCTTGCGAGGGCGATTGCGCCCTGGTTGTCCTCCCATACTTGGGTAGCTCCCACTTGCTCGTGACCCATGTCCTTGAGCATGGCGCGGGTCCACAGCACCTCCTGCGTGCACAGGCTCAGCGCCATGTACTCGGCCTCTGCCGAGCTGAGCGCCACCGTGCGCTGGTACTTCGACTTGAAGACCACCGGCTCCCCGCTAATCATCACCATGATGCCTGACACCGAGCGTCGGTCGTCGAGATTGCTGCCCCAGTCGGCGTCGGTGTACGCCGTCACCTCGACCTTCTTCGCGTTCCCATTGTAGGCGATGCCGATGTCTCGGGTGCTCTTCAGGTACCTAAGCACGCGGATGGCAGCCTTCCAGTGCTGCTGCCCAGGGTTCTCGAGGAAGCGCGACAACTGGGTCACGATGTACGCCACATCAGGTCTGGTGCACGTTGTAATGTACAACAAACAGCCAATGAGTGCTCGGTAGGGCTTCGCCTGCATTTCCTCGCGTTCCTTCTGAGTCGTCGGCGACTGAGTCTTCGACAACTTCATGCCCGACTCGCACGGGTTCACCACAACCTTGGCGTCCTGCTGGTTGAACCGCTTCACCACATCATCAATGTATCGAGTCTGCTTGATCATGAGAGTCTTCGCCGATGAGTCATGGTCGATCTCCATACCAAGTATAAACTTGGCTTCGCCCAACTCCTTCATCTTAAACGCATTCTTGAGCGCCACCTTGACTTCCTGGATCTCGTTGCTCGTCTTGGCCGCGATGATCATGTCGCCCACGTACAGGCAGACATATACGAACCTGCCCTTCTCGCCCTTGACGTATACGCACTGGTCGCCACCGCAGCTCCGAAATCCGATGCCCACCAAGACTCGGTGGATGGTCTTATGCCAGGCATTCGCCGCCTGCTTCAGACCATAGATCGCCTTCTGCAGCCGACACATCATGTTCTTCGCGTTGATGGTTCCGTAGGGCACCTCCATGTAGACGCGCTCCACCAGCCCGCTGTTGAGAAAGGCGGTGTCCGCATCCAGCTGCTCGGTTATGTACGCCTCGGCCACCACAACCGACAACACCACTCGGATCGAGTTCATGTTGGCCACGGGCGAGTACGTCTCAAAGAAGTCCACACCATACTTCGGCTTAAACCCTTTCGCCATCAGGCGGGCCTTATACCTGATGACTCGGCCGTGCTCGTCGCGTTTCTTTGCGAACACCCAGCGACAACCGATCGGTCGAGCACTCGGTGTCCGACGGACCAGCGTCCATGATCCGTTGTCCGCGTGTGCCTTGAGCTCCGCATTCATTGCCTTCACCCACTCCGACGACTCGTCGCTCTGCATGGCCTGCTGATACGTGGTGGGTGCGTCATTGGCATCGCCGACGTCTGCGGCGTAGGCCAGCACCGCCTCAGCCAATAGGCTGTCTTCGTCCACCCTGGGTCGCTTCGGAGACGGTGGCCAGAAGTGATCATCGTTGTCCGAGTCATCGGGGCCATCTTCTTTCGACACCTCACCGTCTGCGGAACTATCTCCAAGTAGTAGTACCAGTTCTCGGGCACGCCGGGTCCGTTCCGGCTCCGGATGGAAGACCATGTCATTATTAAATACCGGTCTCGCGAGTCGTCGGTACGTTGCCAGCTCCTGCATGGATGGCTCCGGCGTTTCCGCCTCATGCATTTCTGCGTCCTCGACGGTCTCTTCCACCGATTCCATCGGCTCGTCGGCGGCACGTCGTTAAATCTCCTCGTGCAGCGCCACTTCATCGTCGACATCTTCCGTCGACTGAATGATCGGCGAGTTCTCGCTGGGCGACGTGTCGTAGATGTCGTTCACCTCGCGCTCGTCCAGCTTCACCGACCTGGACACCTTCACTTTGTTCGACTCCAAGTCGTACACTCGGTAGCTTTTTGAGTCGTCGGCGTACCCAAGAAACATACATTTGAAGCTCTTCGGCTCCAACTTGGTGCGTCGCGACTTGTCGACATGGGCGTAACCAATCGACCCGAAGACTCGAAGATGGTCCAGCCGAGGCTTCGACTTGAACGTCAACTCGTACGGAGTCTTGGTCGGGTGCATGCTGTTCGTCGACCGGTTGATCAGGTAGACAGCAGTGCTGACCGCCTCTGCCCACCATATCGAAGCCACGCCCTTATAGTGTAGCATGCTTCGAGCCTTCTCCATGATCGTGCGGTTCATCCGCTCCGCCACGCCATTCTGCTGGGGGCTATACGGGACCGTCTTCTGATGCATAATCCCATTCACCCGGCAGATCTCAGTCATCGGCGTGTTCACGAACTGAGTGCCGTTGTCCGAGCGCAGGCATTTAATGCGCTGCCCCCACTGGTTCTCGTACAGCTTCATGAACGACTTGAACTTGGTCACGACCTCGCTCTTCTTGGTCAAGAAGTACGCCACGACGTGTCGCGAGTAGTCGTCGACAAAGGTGAGCACATACCTCGCTCCGCCCTTGGACTTCGTCTTCATAGGACACATTACGTCCGTATGAACCAGTTCCAGCGGTCGAGTCGTCGCCGACGTCGACCGCGACGGGAAATGTGCGACCGTCTGCTTGCCCTTCATGCATCCTCCGCACAGGGTCTTCGTCTGCTGTTGAGTCGTCGGGATCCCGTCCGTCGCCTCGCGGGTCTTCGCCATAGCGTCTCCGTTCAAGTGTCCCATACGAGCGTGCCATGGCTCCCACTTTCCGTCGACTCCCGAGTACTCGGTGTAGTACGCCATGTCCTGCTGGCAGTCCAGCAAGTACGCCTTGCCGACCTTCTTCCCCGAAGCGATCGCCTTCGTCTTGTCCCAGATGACGCACGACTTCCGCTGGAACTCGACACTGATGCCGCGTTCAGCCAACCTCCCAACCGAGAGTAGTCGCCGGTCGAGTCCGGGGATGTGGAGCACCTCCACCATCTTGATGCGCTTGCCGTCGATGCCCGTTAGGCGCACCGACCCTTTCCCAGCCACGCGGATCTTCTTCCCGTCCGCGATTGTCACATACATGTCCGCCGACGACTCGTTGTACTCGAACAAGTCATCGCGGTGAGGCGTCATGTGAGCCGTCGCCCCACTATCGATCAGCCAACCCGCTGATGGATTCTCCGCCACAGCGAACACCGAGTCTTCGGCGGTGTCTCCATTTGCTTTTTCCGGGCAGTCCCGCTTCATGTGGCCCAATTGGTCACAGTTGAAGCACTTGCCCTTGAAGCCACGGACCTTTCGTCCGCCGTTGCGCTTGCGGCCGAATGCCTTGCCGCCCTTGCCGCCCTTGCCGAACTTCCCGTTCTGGCCCCTACCTCCGAACGAGGTAGTCTTCAACGCGCGCTCCGTGGTCTCCTTCTTCTCCTGCCGCTCGTACTCCTTGAGCAGCTTCTCCTTCACCTCGATGAGGGTCACGTCCTTTGAGTTCTCGACGATGGATGCGATCAACTCGTACTCCGCCGGCAAGCTGCTCAGCAGGATGACGAGTTGTCGGGAGTCATCGAGCGGCCCTCCAAGCGTCTGAAGGCCCACGATGAGCTCGTCGAACTTGTCCAGGTGCTTCGCCATCGTCGCATCGTCCTCCATCTTGAACTCATGGAGCCGACGAGTCATCGTGACCCGATTATGCATCGTCGTCCGGTTGTAGAACTCGCGTAGAATATTCCAGGCTTGGATAGCCGACGTCGCCGACCGAATCTTCATGTGGTGTTCCACAGCACGCCTTGAGCGATCAGACCGAGCGCCTTCATGTCGTTGAGCATCCAGGCCTCCGTCATCTCCGTCGGGTCCTTCACCACTTGGACGTGCGCCAGCAGCCCCTTCCTCGCGAGCGTCATACGCAACGCGAACTCCCAGTGGAAGTAATTGTCGCTTCCCAGGATGACTTCGGCCTTCTTGCTGGACGTCGTCATGTCGGTCGTCGGGGAGGGCTTGAGCTTGTTGCGGCTGTTAACCTGTTGGGTTTTAGCTTGTGGTTGAGGGGGCAAATTCCGAAGTGAGATTAAATGTTATCGTCTCTCAAACTACTATCTAGTCTTCCCCTCCTGCTTTCCTTCTTGTTCTCCTTGTGCTCGTTGGTGCCTCTCATCAGACGGATTACTCCCGGGTTCCGATTGACTTGATCTCAGTATACTTGGGTCTCCCTGACCAGCCATTGGTATATCCAGAGCCCGGCTGCCGCCGGCTCTCCCGTCGCCGTCGGATCCTCCGAGTCATCGGCGGATGTGTCCACACGTTCTCCTTGTCCATGTGCATCTATTGGCGGCGCTCCCGAAGACTCATGAACATCAATCAGCTTGTGCCCACAGTGATGTCCTTGTTGCTGATACGCTCTGCCATTTCCTCCTCGACCACCGTGTCAGTCCACATGCCCATTCTGCGACAGCCCGACGTGTTCCCCACCAGACAACAGTCAAATCGATACACGCGCAACCGGTACACAAGGCATTTCCCGGTGCTTGACATCCACAGCTCCAGCCCACGATCCTTCCTCATGCAAGCGAAAATACGCACGAACCAAGTAGGAGTCGCTGCAAGCCAAGCGCGAAGAGTGAAGCCACCACAAAACAACTGCGGCGACTTCAAGCTTGACCGGTATGCCTCTTGCCTTGTGTCGACAGCATTACCGGTATGAGGACACCCAGCACGAGCAGCTTACTTTTAGGTAACTGGGCTGTCCACCACCGAATGCCCAGTTCACCGCCTCAGCATGGCCGCCAACAACTTGGCTACATGTGACGCCCTCCGCCGTTAATTAATGGAGCGTGTCAGTCTCTAGAGAAGCTGCATGCGTACATGTAGTCTGCGACGTCCGGTTAAACGCCGGTGGGCCCGCTTGGGCACGAGATCTACAGTGCGCGTAAGGCTGGAGGCAGGGACATAACCAGAGCCTTTTTCTAAGGGGGGCATGGAGGCAAACGTTAGGGCCTAGTTACGCCCCAGCCTGGAGGGAGGAGCGAGGGTCCTTGCGGCGTCGTCGAGAAACTTGAGTTCTGTGATTTGCAATTTGGTCGGATACATTCCTACAAATCAAAAATTGGTCGGTCACTATTAAAACTCCAAATCAAATCCACTACCTAATCTGCAAAAATTGGTCGGCCCAATATCAAATCCTGACACGCCGACTTACGACGGCCCCACTGTAGCCTATAGTAAACGCGCCTATGGACTCGTTCATTGACACGTCTGACAGGGATGCAGCTTGGGGGTTCTCAGCTCTCGCCCCCCCTCCCCGTCCCGAAGCCTCCAGTGAAGGCGCACAAGGAAGAGGCCACGCTTGCATCCACAGTCCACTACGCTTCACAATCTCCGCATCTGTATTTCCTAAAGAAGGCTAGGAGGGATGCTTGTGAATGTGCCTTACGCTCTGCAAGGTGTGTGCGCGCCGTCTCAAGAGGATTGAACGTACAACCGAACAACTTAAATGACGTGAGCAACTTGCTGGGTACAGATCTCAGCGCTTCGTGGCGCTTCGTAAGGTTTAGAGCTATATGGGTCGTATGTATCTTCGGCCATGCATCCTGAGACTTTCTAGCGACGCTAACATCGATGTCGACTTGGAAATGGCAGCTTATCGGTACTCTGTACAGCTATTCCTAAGCAGAACGCCTTGTTGTCTCCTTCTCATCTTGCACCATTGGAGCGTCATGTTCCAGTCTGTTTGTCAGTGACAAATTGTCACTTCCCGTGAGCTAAAAGCTTAGCAGATGTTGAAAAGGAACAAGCGCCGCATGGTGCAGTGACAGGCAGGACGTTCGGCGCCCATCAGAAGTCGTTCAGCTGGACTTCATGAATTTCCTTCATTGCACGAGTTCACCAGCACGAGGCTCCAAATGATCCCTTCGCTGCGCGGTTCGAACGAGACGAAAATGCGTTGACTCCCGACGACTTCATTTTCCAATTTGCCTTCAACAACGACAACCACCAGAAAGCGCACAAGTTACCATGCGTCTGTACCACGCTCTGCTCGTCACGGCTCGTCACTGCTACCGCCCTGCTGGCCAGCAACGTCTCCGCCGGTCGCGCTGACTGTGACATAGTCCCTGCCGGCTCGTACGGGACATCCAGTAAATCTGCAGCAGTGAGCCAGGACTCGACGGCCAACTCGGACGTTGGTGCCAGCCAGGGCTCCGCCCCGTCGAAGTACCCTGTGCAGCAGGACTCGAACGTTGCTTCTGGCTCGGGGGCTCCTTTCAGTGACGACGACACCCAGCAAGGTGTCGTTGTCCCCGCCACACCCTCGGACTCGGGTTCATCGCCCAGCGCCACCACTGGCGTCGGTGCCAGCCAGGAGACGATGAACTCGGGCTCGGGAGTTTCCCCCGCCAAGCAGGGCCTCGCCACGCCTGCCCCGACCCCCGGCCTGGATGTCGCCGCTAGCCAGGACACGGCTCCGTCCAGCTTCAACGAGGGCATTCCCCCTAGCACACCGGGTAAGCAGGGTCTCACGACTCCCGCTCCGACCACTCCGTCGACCGACGAAGCCCCACAGAAGACTGATGTCGCTGCTTCCTCTGACGTTGCCGGTGAGGCTGACCCCTCGGTGGACGTGACGGAAGCGCCTACCGCCACCACTCAGGCCCCCACGGTCGCCTCGAGCTCGAGCTCTGCTATCGCTGCCGGCAACTCCACCACGCCTGCTCCTGCCTCCCCTCTGAAGGACAACTCGAAGCTGTGCGCTAAGCCGCGCGTTGTCGTCACGGGGGTCGACGTGGGCGCCACTGTCGAGAACGACGAGGACGAGGCCGCCCTTAAGGTCATTGCCATCGCTGCTCTTCCATCAGGCGGCTCTCGCATTGCCTTCCAGAGCGGTGACAACGTTATCGTGCGCGAGCTGGACGCCAACGACAAGCTGGTGAGCAGCAGCCTCGCCGTCAAGGTGCCGCTGCACGACTTCGGTGACATCTACGCCGACAAGGACGGCTTCGTCATCGTCGGCACGAGGGACGCTGAGGGTGGAGGCACCCTGAACTGCGGTAACCGAGCAACCTGTGTGGCACGGCTCCCGACCCGGCTGTGCCTTGCTACGGCATGTACATGGTACGCTACGATGGCGCGAGCGAGAAGTGGACCACAAAGCTGACGTCCTCCAGCGCTTCGCTGCCCCCTTACTCGACGTCGGCCACCGACCCGGATGTCTACATGATCTGGTGGTACGCTCACCACGGCCGCATCGCGTTCGACGGCACGAACTGGGCCGCGTACTTCGGCGCTGCGCAAATCACACTTCGTCGCAATTTGAGAGCAAATTTGCGTTCACCTACACCTAGATTTGCGTTGGGATTGTGAGCGCCAAAATCACCAGCAAAATGCAGCCACGGAGTAGGCAAGTTTAGGCGGCGGTCAATAGCCAACAGAGAGGATTGCAACTCCAAGACTTCGCGGATAACTCAGTAGAGATAACGAGCTATCGAGCGATATGCACTACAACGTAGAAGAACGATGGTAAGTGCATCAAATAGCATTCGCAAAACAACTCGCAATTTGCAGAGACTCCAAAATCGTCTCCGCTGATTTTTCGAGCGCATCCGCGCATTTTTGCTACAGGATTTGCGTTTTCGAATTTGCGATTTGCGTGAATTTCTTAAGGCCCCCAGTGTTACGCCTTATTTTTGTGTGTGTGTTTAAGTGGCCGTCTATTTGAGCTTAATTAACTGACCTATAGAAACCTGATATGTAGTGAGACGTGCCTGTATGTCGACCGTCTTTGAGTGTTGTTGTTGCTTTTGCAGCTGGGGTGTGGAGTCTGCAATCGTTTTCCTTGTCCGAGAGTTGGAGATCAAAGCTCCTGTGCTGTGGGTATCGTAGATGGTTGCAGTGCTTGTTTTTGCCATCAACTTAGCCGCTCAGTGTTTCGCCTTATCTGGAGGTGCTCAAGTTGATGCCACTGAAATCCGTAACCACCAGATATTGAGCGCACAACTGCGGCGGGGGTGCATTGCGATCACAAACAGCTATCGTTGTGCTGCTAAAGCCGAACCCAAATGTCTGATAGGAAGAACCATTATGGAGATGATGGAGACGCAGCCGGAGTACCAGCAGCAGGTTCCGCGGATGCTAAGCTCTCGGTATCTTCTTCTCTTCGACGATGGATCACGGGGTAGCCCAGGCCCTGGTGGTAGTGGGGCAGTTGCTGTGCGTATTGATCCTGACACAAATGCGCAAGAAGAGATATGAGCCAGCGGTATGTCGTTAGCTGAACGGCGAACAATCGTGCTGAATTTGTTGGACTTATCATGGGCCAACGGCGGGATGAGCACCTGAAGCTTTGTAATGTGCATGTAGTGGGACTTGAGATTATGCGGGCAAGGCCTGGTAGTGGAGTGTTGGTTAGGAAGGAAATCCGAAAGTGAATTAGAATTAGTTAAGCAAAACTGCTTCTAGGAGTCTGTCCTACCGTGTCTTACCAACGAGTACACGAAGTCCTAGCTTCTAACTCCAACATGTTTTGTCGAGGCTGCGAAAACTAAATGTCGATTGTGGTTGCAGATCCCATGCAAATGACAACTTCAACATGACCTTCTCCCAGCCAATCAGAATCACCAAATCCGGGGAACCAGCCAATCACATTGTAGCATACAGTACAACCGTACGCCTTGGCAACAACTCCACAGCCGCACGTGCCTCGATACGGAGTCGCACAACTAGACTGCGAAGTGTCCAATCGCAACACCCCCACTCAATTCGCAGTCTACCCGAGTAAGTCAATGACGTTACTTCTCTGGAGCAGGTAGCGAAGAGTCTTCGTAGATAACCCCTTCGTCAGGAAGTAAGCGAGCTGGTTCTTGGAGTCGACGTACTCCAGTTCAACTTCACCAGTCGCAACCTTCTCGCGGATGAAGTGGTATCTGATGTCGATGTGCTTGATGCGAGACTGGTAGCCGACATCCTTCGCCAACGCCATGGCACCTTGGTTGTCCTCGTAGATCACCGTAGATCCATCCTGCTCCGCACCCAAATCCTTGAGCAGAAGTCGCATCCACACCACCTCCTTCACACATTCGCTGAGAGCCATGTACTCCGCCTCAGTCGAACTCAGCGCGACCGTCTTCTGAAAAGTCGAGCGCCAAACCACGGGAGCACCACACATCGTCAGCATCATTCCGCTGACAGAGCGTCTGTCGTCGCGGTTACCAGCCCAGTCGGCGTCCGAATTCGCGACGAGCTCCGTGCCAAGCAATCCATCGTAGACGATTCCGAGATTCTTGGTCTTCAATAGGTACCGTACCACACGGATACCAGCATCACAGTGCTTCTCACCGGGGTTCTCCAGGAAACGACTCAGCTTGGCCACTGCAGCTGAAATGTCCGGTCGAGTTCCACACACCAGGTACATCAGACTTCCCACGAGAGAGCGATACGGCTTCGACTTCATCTTGGCCATGTCCTCCTCGGTTTGGGGTTCGTCCGCCTTGGTCAACTGCACACTTGGGTCGAGTGGAGTCAGACACGCCTTCGCATTCTCCTGGCGGAACTTCGTGATGATTGACGCGGTGTACGCCCGCTGGTAGATGCCCAGCGTCTAGGCCTCCATATTGTAGTCGATCTCGATGCCAAGGATGAATCGAGCGCATCCGAGGTCCTTAATGCGAAACTTGTCCGCGATGCCTGCCTTCACCGAATCAATGATGGCCCGCTGGCGAGATGCAATCAGCATGTCATCGACGTAGAGACACACCACGCACTCGTCGTCGCCAGCACCTCTGCAGTAGCAGGCAGACGACGTCATCTTCACTTTGAGCTTCAGCCAAATCCAGGAGTTCTCGAAGTCCTTCAGGCGACACCATGTAGATCTCCTCTTCGAGCTTTCCATACAAAAACGCAGTGTCGATGGCACACTGGTCAATCTCCATTCCGTCGGCGCAGCACTTCGCGAGTTTCGCACGAATGGAGTTCAGGTACACCACCGGCGAGTAGATCTCCTCGTAGTCGATTCCATGACGCTGCGAGTACCCCTTGGCCACGAGACGAGCCTTTTACCGAACGATTCTCCCCGTCTCATCGCGCTTTAACGCGAAAACCCAGCGACAGCCAATCGCACGCTGGTGTTTGGGCTTGGGCACCAACTCCCACGTCTTATTCATCATCAGCGACTTGAACTCACTTGCAATCGCTGCCTTCCATTGGGCACGATCCTCACTCGTAATCGCCTCTTGATACGACCTTGGCACCTCCCCCGTTGCAGCCATCAGCATCCCACCGTGGATAGTGAGTTGGTTCTCGTCCGACTTGGCGCGACCTTGGTCCATCTTCTGACGCTTTGTCCTGATCTCGGATGGCGCAACGACTTGCTTCTTGCGACCTCCGGGTTCCTCAGGATCGCTGGTCTCTTCAATGTGACGAGCTCGCGACCGAGTAATCATCGGATGGGTAGTGTACGGAACGATTGCTCCACCTGTCGTCACGTCATTTGGTGACATAGTCGGGCCGCCAACTTCAACTTCAGTCGAAACGTCGCGAACAGGCACCAGTGCAGCTACGCCGCCCGAGTTTGGTGTCACTGGAGTCAAATCTTCATCGTCGTCAATCTCCAGGCGCATCATCAGGTGATCGGGTTCCGTCGTCTTCATGAACTTCACAGTGCGTACGATTTGCACATTTCCCGTCGCCACGTTGAGAACGCGGTATCCCTTCACACCATCCTCGTACCCCAGGAATCGACACTTGAACGCCTTCGCATCCAGCTTCCGACGCTTCTCGTCGGCGATGTGGGCGTAGCCAAGTGCGCCAAATACTTTCATGTTCTTGAGCTGAGGCTTGGATCGGTGCACAATCTCGTGGGGTGTCTTCACGGTCACCGAATTCGGGATATGGTTCATGAATCACGCAGCTGTGTTGCCAGATTCAGCCCACCACTTCTTGTCGATTCCCTCATGGTAGAGCATGCAGCGTGCCATCTCTACCAAACTTCTGTTCATGCGCTCAGCCAATCCATTGTGCTGAGGCGTGTACGGCATCATCTTCTCATGCTTGATGCCGATGCGGCCGAGGTAGGCTTTGAACTTCTTGCCTGTGTGCTCACCGCCATTGTCCGAACGCAGGCGCTTGATCGTCTTGCCCGTTGCGTTCTCCATTGCTGCCTTGAAGATCCGATTTCGCCCTCATGAAGTACACCGTCACGTGTCTTGAGTAGTCATCGATGAAGGTCACTGCGTACGTGCAGCCTCCAGGTGTATTGGTCTGCATCGGACCCATGACGTCCGTGTGCACCAAATCCAGCACACCGGCACTCTTGACCAAGTTGCCAGGCTGACATGGGAAGTCGTCAGCGCGCATTTTCCCCATGCAACATCCAGCGCACACATTATCCGTCGCCACGTCGCCTGCGATGCATTGTACCCCATCGGCCATGCTCAACAGCTGTTCGTAGCGCTTGTACGGGACGTGGCCGAGACCGGCGTGCACGACGGCCCATGGCTCCTTACGAGATGTCGTCGCCGCACGACACACCTCGTCCCCCACTGTCTTTAGCTTGTATACATTTCCACAGTGCTTGGCATCCATCACCGTCACGCGACCAAAGCAAAAGACACATTTGTCCTTGCTGAATTGCGCGTCGACGTCCAGCTTCGACACCGAGATGAGGCTCCCATCAACTTCCGGGATGTACAGAACATCCGACAATGTGACGGACGTCCCGTCCATCAGCTTCAATCCGACGGTGCCCTTTGCGACTGAGTCGATCTTCGTGCCGTCCGCGATCGTGATGCGGACCGGCGTCTCCAACTCCTTCATGGACACGAACGTGTCCCGGACGCTGGCCATGTGCGAGCTGGCACCGGAGTCCACAAGCTACTCCGACTTCGCCATTGCACCCGTAGCCGTGAACGTGAAGTTTGACGCTTTCTGCGCGACTTGGCCACGTCCCTCATCGGCCTTCATCTTGTGGCTCTCTTGTTCCTTGTGCCCGAGCTTCTTGCAGTAGATGCACTTACCGGAGAACCCGCGCTTGCGGAACTCCTTCTTCGTTGTGAATGCCTTCTCCCGCGTCGATGTTGAATCCTCCGAGACTTCAACACCAGACAGAGCTTGGATCGCGTACGCCAACGTCATGTTCGGCGTGTTCTCGAGTACGGTACTGATCATCCGGTACTCGCCCGTCAAACTGCCCAGCAGCAGCACGAGTTGGCGAGTCTCGTCCAGAGCTTCACCAATAGTCTCCATCTGCAGCACCAGCTCCTTGAACCGGTCCACATGCGCCGCGAACCGCGTCCCGGGCTCCATCTTGAAGTTGTGCAATTTCTTGGTCACGACGAGCCGATTCTTGAGAGTGTTCCGGTTGAATTGCTCCTCAAGCAGGCGCCACGATTCAGCAGCGGTTGTCGCTCCACGGATGTAGATTTGGTATGTGAGACTCACATCCCCAGCGATCACACCAAGGGCCTTCAGATCGTCAGTCTTCCATTGCACCGTGGAGCGGTCACTCAGCTGGTCGAACTCTGGCTTGACGATGTGGGCCAGCCGTCCCTTGCGCGACAACTTCATGTGGAAGGAGTTGTCTTCCACGAGCTTCACGGTGTCTGCGTAACTTGGACTCATAACCATGCGGGCAAGGCTTGGTAGTGGAGTGTTGGTTAGGAAGGAAATCCGAAAGTGAATTAGAATTAGTTAAGCAAAACTGCTTCTAGGAGTCTGTCCTACCGTGTCTTACCAACGAGTACACGAAGTCCTAGCTTCTAACTCCAACATGTTTTGTCGAGGCTGCGAAAACTAAATGTCGATTGTGGTTGCAGATCCCATGCAAATGACAACTTCAACATGACCTTCTCTCAGCCAATCAGAATCACCAAATCCGGGGAACCAGCCAATCACATTGTAGCATACAGTACAACCGTACGCCTTGGCAACAACTCCACAGCCGCACGTGCCTCGATACGGAGTCGCACAACTAGACTGCGAAGTGTCCAATCGCAACAGTGGGGGACAGTGTGATGATAATTGGTACTTCCCTGGTCTAGGATAATATACGCGTAAGGTTTTATGTATTTTACACAACATGTTTTATTGGCTAAAATTATGAATTTCCGTCACCATCGAGTAATGGCGAAATCCTTCTGTGACATTGTTAATTCCAGCCAACAATTCCCGAACAATGCTCACGCCAGGGGCCAAGGACGTGCCCGTGAGAGAGGGGAGAGCACACCGCGGCGGCGGGGGGGGGGGGGGCATTTAAAAGATCTCGAGACGGAGGTCCCTGAGATCTGGAGCCAGCGCACCGACCTCTCCGCGCTAGTGGTTCCGCGAAAGGCGCGAGCCCGCGGTCAGACTAAACTCTTAGTAGAGGATGTAGCTGGGCTCATCCAGGACGTCCCTATGACGAACGGCAAACACTGCGTTGCCCAGTAGCCGCTACGGGCATACCCCGCGCAACACTAATGCGCCACCTGAAAGCTGTGTTACGAGTCGCCTAAAGCCTACCCTGACGAAAGAACACAACTTGTGTTCTTGTGTTACACAAGCCAATAACACAAGCCTAGCCTTCTCACGTAGGAAAAAAATATACACAACAAATTTTGTATCTAATTTGTATTATAGGGGTGAGACTTCAGAATGATTCACATGTATTATAGATAACTCTCCGCATAACTTTTTCTTAAAACGCCATCCTAAACGTAGCATAAATATGAGATGTGTCCTGATTGGGCAAAACTACATTGCTGAATGCGAATCCCAGCCGTGCAAGCAGGAAAAACCTCGTTTTTTATTCGAGGCTCTAACTCTCACAAAATAACGCTGATGCCTCTAAATCGGAGATCATAAGAGAGCTTGTATCAAGCATAACCCGAGGCAATTCTTGGATCTAATATCGCTATTGCCGCTTATGTTTTACGAAAAAAAAACTTATTGCATCGATAGATGAGCTCATGCAGTCGATTGTTTTACAGCCAAAGCCTCGCAGAAGCTGCTAATAAAAAATATCATGTGCTTCAGCTCGTTCTCAGCTTTTCGTTGCTACCTTGCTTGTTTAGCTACCAGTAGAATTGGCACAGCTATGGTAGAAAGAGCGATGCGCGCATAATATCGTGGACCAGAGAAGTATGCTGCAACAACGAAGGAATCCTCGGTCTCTATCACTACAAGGGCTATACTAGGCTTCACGATGCATGGCAGATCGCATTGGGGCTCGCCGCTGGACCCACCACTACCGTAATAACAATAAGATAGATGACGGTTTGGTCAATATCGCTATGAATTCAAAAACTTAAAAGTTATGACTCATAACAATTTATAGGTTATGGGTCATACCTTATGAACCATACCCTATAACCTGTCTTGTGATCGATTTGCTTCACAGTCACACTTCACAGTCACAGTCAGCCTGCATAGTCGTTTTCAGCTCTATGAACCGGTTCTCTACGAAACGGAAAAGGCTCGTAAAATTTATACTCTTTCGGATAAGTCTTTGTGGATTGAACACCCAACAAAGTCTTCGGCAAAAACAAAATGTGAACCTAGGTGGACGGTGTAGCTTACCAGTTTATCTTTTCTGTTTCACTGTATAGCAAAAAGGAAGCCTATCTTGTGATGCGAGGATATTGTGTTTTCACTTAATTTGCTTGATGTGAAGAGATTCCTCTTGAAATTGCCTCATAAACTATATGCAGCAGGTGGCGCTTTGGCACATGCATGAATCAAGTGACACTACTCGAGCCGATTTCTTGCAGTTAGACTTCTTGTACAGCTGACTAATAGAGGACTTTCAGAATCACGTTAAAGTTGAGGTTTAGCTTCAGAGTGAGCTCTTTTATGTGATCCGAAAAGCTACATAATCGTGGGTGCAACTCTTTTTTTAGGAAAATTTTCTAACTTCTGAGGAAGGCCTTCCCATGCCTAACTTCTGTGGAAAACACTAACTTCTGCGTATACCCTCAGCCTAGTTTCTACACCACCTAGCTTCTGAGGAAATACCAAGGTGGTGTCCATACTGTACGTAATCTAAGAAACCTAGATTCACTTCATGCGGGCCTCCGTAGTGATCCTCGAGCGGAGTCTCGCAAGGTAGTAGGTAGGATAGTTATGAGGACCAACGGGACTCCTGTGGCTGTCTCTGTTTCAAGAGCGTGCTTTATAGAGGCTAGAATGACGAGCAACAAGAGGCAAGTGCGATGACGGTGCATGTGTATGGTCATCGTTTAGCTGCCCGAGCGCACACCGACTAGCGGTTGTGCTCGCTATGTAGCTGGCACTACAAAAATAGGGTTTGTATATTCTAATTACTCTGGAGACACTACCAGTTACCGTACAACTATCAAAGTACAACACGTAGATGTCAGACAAAGGTACGGACAAGTAGAAGCTGCGTAGTGTACACACTTGACCTCCTAGCGCATGGTTTGTTGATGAAGCAGCACCAGTGTAGCAGAACAAGCTTGAGATAAGATAGTCTTCCTCGGAAATCTGTGCCACCATACATTATGCAATTTCATATAAACTGAAGGACTATACTCACTTTTTCTCCCAGAGTTGCCGTTCCTCAGACGCCAGCCTCGCTTCCTCAAAAGTTAGGCCGTTCCCATAATCGTTATTTTCGGAGGGCGGGTTGCCTTTCTAATTCAGATTGAGGTAGGCGCCCAACGAAGCTATGAGCTGCGTGGAGCTGGTCGGTCGGCTAGCCCCAGCGTCATCTTCGGCCGGGCATGTATCCAGAGGAATTTCCGCCACTGCGCAACCAGGCCGAAGATGCTGTTGCTGAGATGGAGATCGTCGAAGTTGACGACTCCAGTGAGAGCAGCGACTCTGACGACTCCGACTACGAGGACATGGCTAAGACATCTTCGTCCGGGAAGAGCGCGGATGGGCTATGCAAGGCGGAATCCATCGAAGAAAGCAGCTCGTCAGATAGCGACACCGATTAGGAGCAGCCGACCAAGCGCAAGCCCAAGCGGAACCGCGTTGAATCTTCGTCCAATAGCTCGTCCGAGGACGAACCCCAACAGGCTTCTTCGTCCAAGCGTCCATCTCCCCGGCAGTCGTCTCACACAGAACCCCAGTCTACCCGGTCCAAGTTCCCGCTGCAGGACAAACCCGATCGCCTTCTTCCAGGAAGAAATCCAAGAAGCGCAGTCGGACGTCGAAGTCCCAGCGAGAGGGCGGCAAATCAGCCTTGGTTTAGAAGTCTTACGAAAAACTGACTGCCGAAGAGTTGGCGATCATCTCGAGATATCGTTTCGTGGCGCCGTCGTGGTGTTGGTACTCAGTTCTATCCGAAGAAATGTGGTATTGAGGGTCAGACACCCCGTTTCCCGAATTACGCACTCCATCAGCCCGAAACCAAGTTCCTGGCTAGACGTTGGCCAGCAGTCGAAGATGAGTACGCGGCCTTGGTCGAGACGGAACCCTGGCTGGAGATGTTCAACAACCGGGTCAAGGTCCTGTATTTCCATCGCCGGGGTCAGCTATCCTGGACCGTGATCCGCATACTGGATCAGCACGTCTAGTACATGAAGGACCACCTTCCGGCCTTCTGGCACATCCTGCACTGGTTCATGATGAAGACTAAACCCGAAGATGACGAGAACTGTGACGACCTCACGATCTACGAACGGGCTCAGGACCTTCACCGGAAACGCCAAGCGTTCCACGACGGGGTTGCGCGCACCTTCGGGGCCCGCATCAAGCGTCTGATCAAGGCCGGTATGCCCAAGACCATGGTCCGGAGCCTGGGTTCTGGTTGTACCGTGTAAGATCTGTTACCTGTACCTGGTCGACGAGTCAACCAAGAAAGAAGATGGCACGCGCTACACTCTGGCCGACCAGATCGCGATGTCTGAACATGAAGACCCCGGCCGAACTCAGTGGACAACCTGTACGGAGGACGAGCGTCTGCCACATGCCCCGGCCAAGATCCTCGACAAGCTGCTGCTCAAGGAACATGAGCGCGTCAGCAACTGGGTCTCGACCAAGTTCCAGTGAAGCCATCCCCATCCAGCATCCACGGCAGTCCTGGATGTAGTTGCATACCCGTAGCGTAGCACTCTAATTCCACCACCACCGTTAATGTCTTTGCTGTCTTCATCGTTTCCTTCTTCGGTCAGATTACCCAGGTCAGTTCGACCTTGGGCGCAGTCTTGTTCCTCTCTTATGGCTTTGGCTCCTCCTTCAGGGCAGCATAGTCAACTTCATACACTCGTCATCAGAAACTCCAATCTCGTTCAGCTTACTCTCCGTCGTAGGCCCACTCCATACAAACTCACAATCAATTTTCCGTAGTTCACACATTCACATCCAGGCAGTTCGGGTCTCCGTCTGGGAATCTCCAATTGGGATCAACACTCCCAGTTGGGATCGCCCCATCCGTGTAATGGGCCTACCTTGGCTCACTACTACGGCTTACACGTATGCGCACGAGGATGAGGAAGCGTAGGTTTCTTTTACTTGAGTTAAGTATACTCGAGATCCACAACTTTAAAGAATATAAAGACTAGTAGCGGGTTTTGGTAAAAGATGAGAACTGTTATTTGTAATTTATGCTTTGACTTCCCCTAATTGTAACGAGCACGCTCTCTTCAAACGTCACGCATTGACCAAACGGTCAATGGTGGTCGACCTGCCGAGACCGGCACGTCTAACCTTGACGGGGGGATGGTGTAACGGCGTTACACGCACAAGTGGCTACAGCCACTTGTAACTCTAACAGACACGACATCTGTTAGAGGTTCGAAAGACTTTCTCGACCTTGGTGTAAGGTACACCAATGGCTGCATACATTTGGGACCACCACGACGCGTGGTTCATACACATTTACGATTCCAATTGGCTGAAAGCAGCATCTTTTAGCCAATGAGCGACTTGCATGTTCGCGGAATCCTGCCAACCAGCCGTTGGCAGACTTGTAGTTTAGAACGCTCCTTAACGAGCACGTCGAAGTTGAAGACCCCTGACGCAGCAGCGGAGGACATCTCTGCTGCGGCGTATAATGCGCGGCAACGTGCGAAGCGCGTCGCTGCCACGGGGGCGGGACCCACAGCCTGCCCTTGAAGTGCATTCGGGTGCTGTTGTTAACAACAGCGCTCGTATTACTTTTCAGCGTGTAGCGCATGGTGGGCTTTGTACGCCCTCACCATGTCCGGGACGCCTTCGAGCAAGACGTTCCCATGTATCTTGGTTGGGAGGGAATCCTCTCCAACGGATACGAAAACGAACCGGTTGCCTGTTCGTTCTCGGGATACTGTGACCAACAATCCGCTCAACTATCCATCGAGTTGAGCCGTGTGCGTCACGAATGGCGGCGGTAGTGGTGGAAACACGCCCCGTGTGTGGTCAACTTGGTGTTGACCCTGATCTCGCGTCTCCAGTTCTGGTCGTGGAGTAGTTCCAGAGCGCTGCGCGCTGGAGAGGATGACGGCTTCCGCCGAGTCTTCTGCTTCGGTTCAGCCGAGCTAAGTAGCTCGTGCTGCAGGTATGGCTAGAGGTTAAGATAATCGACCAAATCTTGGTATTAGTATTACTGACCCTACTGGAGGTCTGGTATAAATATCGGTTATACAATACTTTCGTATAGAAAACAAGTATCAGTATTAATACATATTGTATTAATAATTTGGGTAATACTTCATGCTAGCACAAATTTATGTGGCCCACATTAGCTCGGCTTCGCCAGTGGCGAGTCTATACTGAGCCCAAAGAACAGTTCAACGCTGAAGCGTTCCTATCACCTCGACGATCCGAATGACATTGAAGACCTACTTCATAGTATTCATACGACGGTCCTTATGTTACAGAGGCAGCCAAGACAAGGGTAGCGCGACCTAAAGATGTGGCTATGAAGTGGTAGTCCCGCGGCACTGGTCTTATATAACACAGCCAGGGAAATATTTTTGTGGGTAGTTGGGAAGTATGACGGTAGCTTGGTTTAGTGATCGAACGCAAAATTCCCCTTTGCATTTAGATAGAAGTTTCTGTTAAGGTCGTGGTAGACGTTGGCACGGGCACTCGCGTTGGTCCCGTGGTACGATGGGTATCGAATAGCCCCGCGGAGGGCGTATAGAGAGTGGAAATGCGCGAGCATGCACTGAAATAGCGCCTGCGTGGGTTCGGATGGGCTTCTGGAAGTATAACCGTAAAATATTACTGGTATTACCAATTCCGAGGAGTAGTATTACTTCAATTATCCTTATACATTCGCCCAAAAAGCGAGTATAAGTATTAATACAATCTGTATTAATACCGAAATTGTATTACTGAGTAATACAATACTTTGCGTTATCTTAACCTCTGGAGCCATACCGTATGGCTTCAGCCGTCTGACGTAAAACGTCGAATGGAGGCGCATACGAGACGGTATGTCCAGTGTGTAGGCGTTGCCGTGCCGTGGCAGCACAGTGAACGGCCCGATGAAGCGCGGAGCGAGCTTGCTTGCCCCGAAGTTGTAAACGGCATGTTTAGGCAGGTTTTGAGTAGCTAACAAAACCAATGAACCCTTCTTGAATTCATCTGTGTTACCCCTGCCAACGTTGTCTGCGTTCAGCTTCTGTCGACCGACAGAAGCTGCAATAGCGTCTTGGAAAAACCGAACGACGGTTTGTCTGCGCTGCACGAAGTTGATTGCGTCCGAGCTGAACAAGTTCAGCTCGTTGCCAGCAGTAGGCCCGGCCACTGCGTCCATGTTGGCGGTGTCTGTGCCCTGCACAGATCCGTGTTTCTTGTTCTTCTTGCGCGTGGTCGCGACTGACACTGTGCAAGTGTCAGCGGCAGTCTTCGGCTGCTGCGTTGCAGTCGGAGATCCCCCCCCCCATTTAAGGAAGGAGCCACCATCCCGCGTAGACTCGGGGGGGCGTGGGTGCCTGATGGCATTCACGCAAAACGGTGTATGCTCGATCGAGACATGTACCGAGTTGTTGATGGCGAACGCTGCCATCGGCAGGCACTCGCTCCAGTGAGCGTAGCTCTTAAGCACGTCTACGAGTACGCGGTTCACGCGCTCGGTCTGCCCTGCTCGTCCGTCTGCGGATGGTCCGCAGCCGACATCGAAAGTTGACTCCCAAGAAGGGTAAACACTTCTTGCCAAAGGTGTGCAGTGAAGCGCGGGTCTCGATCCGACACAATGTCGATCGGCATGTCATGGTGTTTGAACACCATGTCAACGAACAGACGCGCCGTCTGCTTCGCAGTCACTTCAGCGGGTACCGCCGCAAGATGTACCATCTTGCTAAAGCGGTCAACAAAGACCACAACGCCCGTGTTCCCCTGGCTGTTCGGGGGAAGACCGAACACGAAGTCCAAAGACATGGACTGCCAACACTCCGACGGAGTCGGCAGTGATGCAAATGAGCCTGCGCGAAAGGCGCAGGCTTCACTCGTTGACAAACCTCGCAAGCACGGACGTACTTGCGCACCCATTTATACTGGTGGGCCCAGTAGAAGTCCCGCGTGAGAAGAAGATATGTCTTCTCACGGTCCGGATACCCCGCAGTCGGTGCATCGTGATACTCATACATGATCCTGAGTCGAAGGTCATGGTCATTGGGCACGACAACGCGGTCCGCGTTGTCGTCAACTGCACTGTAGAGTAAAACCCGTCGTGCACCCGGTAACGGTGTGCACGAGCACGAAGATGCTTCGGCAGCTTCTGACGAGCTTTGTCAGAAGGTGCTGAGCCATAGGCGAGCAAGAGCTTCGCGTCCGCGTCCGCGTCCGAGTCGTGCGCGTACGGGACCTTCACGTCGTCTAACAGCGACGACGTTGGGGTGCTCGATCGCATGGCGTCAATGGCATTGACGTCGGCATCAGTCATGGCGTAGTCAGGTCGACGCGAGAGCGCGTCGGCCACCACATTGAGTCTTCCGGGTTTGTACTCAACCCGGCTTATACTCTGCGAAGAATGAGAGCCATCTCGCCATCCGTTGCGAAATGTGCGGCGACTTCACAGCTGTCCGCAGCGACGGGTGGTCCGTATAGACCACGAACGGTTTGCTTCCGAGTACGTACTTCATGGCAAGGAGTTCCTTGTCATGCACCGGGTAGTTGCGCTCAGCTGGCTTCATCTGACGCGATTGGTAGTAGATCACACGATCGCGACCCTCGTGATCGTGCTGCATCAATGCACATCCGATTGCGATGTCGGATGTGACACGAGGCGGTCCCCAGAAAATTACCGACGATGTGCCGTCACCTCTGTGACTTGGAGTTTGTATCGGATGCTGATTGGTGGATGACTTGGATACGGCGCGGCTGTACCCGCGTGACATGGATGGCGACTGTGGGAGAGAAGTGATTTCTCGGGATGAATCCAGCGCCTGACCGCAGATGGGCCCAACTGGCTGGAAGTGTGAATCCTGGGAGTGCACGCCCAGGATTTCAGAGAACACTCAGTCCAGCCGCGGACTTTCCCTTACGATAAGTGCCTAAAGTCTGGCGGAAAGTGTCTCTGGAGAATGTATCCCAGAGTATACCTCATCTTACTGTGGCTCAGAGTGCTCCAGAGGATCAAATTACCCTGAGAATCAACCCACTACCACCATGATCATGCGCAGGAGGCCGCTAAACCCGCTAAAAGTGTGGTTTTGTGGAGATACACGCGAGCCTGCAATGCAGCAGACTTGTTACCCAGAGTGCCGCACGATGACCCAGAGTTCACCTCCCTGAGTGCAGGTGACCCAGAGTTCCAGAGATGATTCTCTGGGTTTGGACCACAAATCCAGACTCTCTATACTGAACTTAAGTGTTTCCCGAGCCAACACCCAAGAATCCCCACCGTTCCCCAAGATTCCTCAGAATTCCCAGGATTTCAGAAGATGACCCTGAGTATCACCTATTTTTCAGGGACTCGAGTCAGTTCGAAGCCAGTCTGCAATCAAAGTGATGCGTGACCTTGAAGAACTGTTGTGGATGCGCAGACTGGATACTTTCAAGGAGTTGAGAGGAAGTCCTGCACCATACTAAACCAAGTCAAAGGACCCACAATTGGCATTTTCGACGCCGTGCGACAATGGATTCGCAAGCCGATCGCAAGTTTGGACCGCTGAACCCAAGGTATACTCAAGACAAGACATTTGACCCCAAGCATAGTGAACAGAAGATATTTGCCCGAAGAAGAGAGAGAGAGAAGTAGCTGATAAAAACCAAACAGAGTTCAAATTTCCCTGTACTGCCCAAGTGACTTCGGCCAAACCTGCCGACGGAAATCCGGAGGACCCGAGACTACGACCGCGGGACGCTAAGGGAACATCAACGGCGAAGGACAGCCGTCTGTGTGGGCTCCATCAAACTCAAGTCCAGTTAGGTGGTGACCAGCGACGGCCTTGAGCTTCCTGGTGTGATCCATCTATTCCATATCCTAGTTGGGTCACTTGCTGTGCTCGTGGTAGCCCATTTCATATTATTCCAGAGGGTATTCTGGGGTGCTAGGTAGTCGCCTCCAGGATTTTGTATTGACTGCTTGTGTGAAGGGAAGGTAACTGATAGTGATTGTATTTTCCTCCTTTATTGGAGGTGGTGTGCGTTTGTGTGAGTCTCAGGGGAGCTAGGCCCCTGAATTTCAGACTCGAGTGAGCCTAGTGTGTGTGTGACCCACCATCCAAGGGTCCAAAAGAATAAATGACGGCTAGTTGTAGTGTTTGTATACTCTGTATTTGTTGGTTTTATCGAGCTAGAAGGGCATTGGGGTAAGGTGTCTTCTGAGTTCCAAGTCCCAGAGTTGACTGAAATCCTGGACCCTGAATTCGTGATATTCTGGCTTTCAGGGGATCTGATTCTCTGGGTTTGCCTTTTGGTGTGGAGGTGCGTTCTGAAGTAGACGTGCGCTCCCGCACTTCTTCGAGGCTACATTTTCAACCGGTGGGTGTCACACTGTAGTTGTACCAAACGATACGCACCTGTACATTCACGGTAGAAAAAACGCTGGAGTCTCGAATTCTAGCCCTGGCCGGGCGTACTGCCTAACAAAAAATGCATCTCACTTTGCGTTGACTGTATCGACCGACTTTCACCTCGGTCAGTCTCAAGCACGCTGTAAAATCCACACTGGGTAACTTCTCCAGCGCTCGATACATCACACAGGTGTTCCTGCTGACACACTCCTACTTTGTTCAAGTTCCGCTTCATAGCTTCATCCTTCAAGTCAGCTATCGAGGACGTGCTGCCTGCTACGCAGTTCCTGTCGTCCGGTTCTCGTAATCCGGCAACTCGCTGCTCACGCGGCCATGTGGTAGGAGTCTTAGTATCACCCAGTAGCTATGGTGACTAAGAGATGCAATTGCATGGCCTCAGACCGCGTAGATGAGGTATTATAGCACACGATAAGCCGGTATGGTCCATGGATGGTTTCCTGAGTTAATTCGAGGGAAGGCTATTTTTCGGAGATAAGAAGGCGAGTACGCGCGGAATAGACCATCTCACCCTCCACGTTCAAGGCCGGCACGTCGGCGTAGTGTAGATGCAGTCATTTTCCAACTTTGAACGCGCTAGAAGCTGACAAGCTTCCAAGGAAAGCAACCGTTAACGCGAATTCGCAGTGCACAAACCGTCCGCAGATAATCTACGTCGAAGATGGCTGCATCCTCGCTCTCTCGCGGTTCCTACCTCCTCGTCTTCCCGGAAGACCTGAACGGGTCCATCGCCTCCCCGGTCTACGCGAAGATCTCGAACGACAGAGGCACGGCGGTGACGGCGCTGCTCGACGCGGATGGCGACGAGTGGGGACCTACGGTGAAGCTGCCAAGAGCTACTGCTCTGGCAAGAAACGTCGACAGCAGGGATGCCGAAGGCGAGAAACTGGGTGCCTGGGTCCGACAAGCTGTGTGTGCCAAGATCGACGGCTACTTCTGCTACGGTCAAGTCACGGGATACTCCGAGTCGGAACTCATCATCAGCACGAAGTCAGGTCCGGTGGAGCCCAACAAGGCCGATATCTGCGACTCGGTGTATCCCGTGGTAGCAATGGTCATGGGGTGTCATGGGTTCCCGCTTGACAGCTGGAGTTACGACCAACTAGACGAACTTCATGGTGCCATCATGGATCACCTGTTAAATCCAGCTTCTACGACGGCGACAATCTCAGTAGCCCAACTCATGCATGGACTGCTACCCGAAGTGTCACCCGCATACGACCGAATGTACACCTGGATCGACCCCTGCACAGGAAAGCGCGCCCGAGTCTCGCTTCAGCATGTAATCAACTACGTATATTACATCGACGGTGGGAAAAATTCTCCCGTGGACATGGAATCCTCCTTTGATTCCTCTTTCTGCGACCTGAACCCAACCCAACCCGTTGGAACGAGCGTGGGTTCGTCTACACGAAGTCGGAACGATGAAGGAACGGCTACTGCAGCTCCCGACACCACCGCATTCTTCGACATGACTGCCGTGGACGACGATGCAGAAACCGCTGCAGACGAAGCCGTGCTCGCGCAAGCTTTATTATCGAACGGCACCAACGGCGCTGCAAATGAAGGGCGCCTGGTGCCCATCAATCGCTCGCAACATACTCAGCCAAGTCCCGCGGGGCCTGCCCCGGAGCAACAGGGCCAAAGCGGGCACGTACCGTGCTCGGCTGTACCGGTGGTAGCAGAGCGAATGAATACCGAGACTTCAGCTGACGTTGAAATTCTGGATCTAGTGCGGATGCACAAACCGCACCTCCTACCCCACCTCATGGAGTCTCGCCGAGTGCCCGCCACTGGAGCTAAACGCCCAGCGGAAGAAGCGGAAGACAGAGGGACAGCCAAACGGAGTAAATTCAGCTTTGCACCAACGCCCGAGCAACGCCAAGTTCATGGCATCGTCACCTTGGATGCTTACAAAGGTAAGTCTCCCGCCTCTTGTATGGATTCAATGGTGCCAACGCCGAGTTCCTGTTGTGGGCCTACCCCGGTGTCGCAACGCGCGCGTATGACCTCCAGTTTGGAAGTCGTGGACTTTCGTTTCTACACTTTACGCCTGTGGATCATTTGGTTCGGCTCAAGCGTCAGCGGGAAAGCTTCGTGAACATAAGTGATTTCTCCGTCTTTGCCAAGTTTCTACCAGCCTCGGACCCCTCGTCGTGGGACGACATCCTGGCAGGTGCGATCGGTTTTCAGCAATACTGTGCAGTGATGTGTGACGTGGTGACCCAACAACTCGCCACGACACTCTACAACTTCATCGGTGCTCTCATGAGTCGAAACATGTGGCCCCAGGACATGCTTCTCACGCTAGTACTGTGGATCGACTCACAACTCGAGCAGGACAGGAATGCGGTGGCGGTCGACGGTGTAAATGGGACAACAACAAGAAACCTGATTTCGTCACGATTTACTCCAGACAACCTCGAGCTACACGGGCTTATGCTAACCGCTCAGCGAGAAAAGATGGAGGCAATGACGCGGTCGGCTCCCTGCAACACCACTCGCTCCGATGAGCAACCACGGCCACCACGCCCCAGCGGCACGGTAGCAACAAAGGGAGGAAAGTACCTGAGGGCATCCCAAATCCACGTCAGGATGGGAAGGAAGTCTGCTTGAAGTTCCTGTCGAAGCGCGGCTGCCCATCAAGCGACCCGAATGTGTGCGACTACGCCAGCAGAGTGCACTTCTTCCCAGCAGCGCTGACAGAGAAGCTCAAAGGCTACATCCGCAACAGATTCGGTGGCATCAATAGCAAGTATACCTCCACATGAAGACGTCCAGGAAGCGATGGTCCTTGCGACCTTGGACAGAGTAGTGTGGACCATCACGTATTAGACGCCTCAATAGACTCGGCTTCTCAGTACGTACCCCCAGTTACCTTGTCAGGAGCAGAGCATCCCGCTGCCCTCGCCAACGAACACAACGCGGAACTAGCTCACATCAGCTCACAACCCGCCTACAACGCCACGCTGGCCCGGATATCCCAGCTCGAGTCCCAGCGGCGCGTAATCCCCCGGTCTCAGGATTGCAATCGATGCAGCTCGCGTGGTTTGACTCAGTTCGATTTTCCGTGCATCCGACATCACCGGTCTCGTGCTTCAGGTCGTAGCAGTTCGCTCGGCACGGCTCAGCTCGAGCCACTGAAGTCTCAATTTCACGGCCCCCGTCAGGCAACACAGCCTGGTGTACCTGCCACGGCTCAGCAGGACATCAACTCGGCATCTTGTTCGTACCAGTGGCGCCGGCAAAACCCAAGAATAAATGGTGGTTACCAGAACAGCGGTGCGGAGTTGCCCATACTTAGCAAGCTCGACCCGCGCAAAAACACATCCAGCAACAAAACGGCTCAGCTGCGCGTCGGTACAATGCGCCAGGTACCAGTAGCTCGCGCGCATGCTGGTCCCACCTCTACGCCAGCACCCCAGCTACAACGTGAAGGGCACCCAGAACTATGTCTATACGCAACGAAGCTACCGCGACAAACGCTGAACTCCCTCACGGTCCCCTTACAAGAGCCGAAGTCGATGGCAAGTCACGTCCAACGGATACTGAGTGAGCGGGCGGCAGCACGTGCAGCTAGCCAAGTGCAAGCTTTCAACGCATTCTGCACGCGGCTCGGCGTAGATCCCCCACGAGACGTCCCTCTCCGCCAGAGCAACGGTCACTGGCAACATAACACGGAACTGCAGCGTGTTACTACGGCGATGGCATGTGAACACAAGATGCGCCTCCAAGACATTGTTGAACTGGTACGAGACCAGGAGCGAGGTGATTTTCGCCCGAACAAGACAATGTATCCGTCTCGTTTCACTCGACTGCTAGATGGCTACCGACACAAGGACCTCTTGGTGCAGATAGCCCGTACTGGTATTCAACCAACTTGGAAGCAGCAAGACCCCTCTCGAACGAAGCCGATTAAAAACCACCGATCGGCATCTCGACACCTCAACGCTGTCATCAGGGCCATTCGCAAGGGCCAAGATGCGGGGCTGTACCTCGTTCTCGATGCTGAAGTGCTTCGGCATTGGGAAAATATTCAGATCAGCCCCCTCGGCGCAGTCCCGAACAAGGATTGTTCTCCTGAAGACGAAGTAAGGCTAATTCATGACCTCTCATTCCCCCGCGGTCACTCGACAAACGATGCATCAAGAACAGAAGATTGTCCTGACGTCGAGTATAAACACGTGGCTGCGATCGCGAAACGAATTGAAGCATGCCACGCTCGATACAAGGGAGCCGCTATAATGATCATGAAGGGCGACGTGAAAGGAGCGTTCCGCCACCTAATGCTGGCTAGCGGCCATGTTCGCTGGATGGCGGCCACAATCCCTGAACTTGGTGTACTGATCGTGGATATATCCGCTCCATTCTGATGGACAAGTTCTCCCGCCTTTTATGGCGCATTTGGTGGTGCCATCACGTGGTTAGTTAGTCGCGAAAGCCCCGCCTCCATGGACAAAACCTCTCGCGGCCACGACCCATTTTTTGCCTACGAATGGGTCGATGATCATGTCCTCGTCGAACCTGACACCGGCAACCGGCTATTTCTCACAAATGAAACGCTACTACTGGCGATGCTAGCGATTCTCGGTCCCGGAGCAATCAACGAAGAAACATTTAGCTCGTGGGAATCAAGCCTTCAAGTGTTGGGACTGGTGTTTGACACCGCTGCACGGACGGTGTCAATGCCTCGCGAAAAAATCGTTAAAGCCCTTGTTCGGGTTCAATCATTAGCAATTCAGCAACACGTCACTCGAACCCAGCTGCAGCAACTCCTAGGAAGTCTACGCCATGTTTGTTCGTGTCTCCGCGCCGCAAAACCATTCTACCAACGACTACATGCCGCGAGTATTCGAGCGCCACGCTATGGAAGAATAGCTGTCAAGAATTCGATGGTCTGTGATCTGCAGTGGTTTACCATGATCCTAACTCATGGCCGGCTTCAACAGGTACCCCTAGCTATGTTTGCGGATCAACAACCCATCGATGTTCATCTTTACATGGACGCCAGCAACAGTGGCCTGGCCGTCCTCGATCCCGCCACGCAGCAGTACATCCAAGTGCGATTTGATGAAGAAGAACAAGCACGCATTCACGCAGCATCAGGCTCGGATGGATTTAACATCAATGTCCGGGAGCAACTATGTGTGGCCTTAGCGGCGTGGATATTTGGACCTGAGTGGGCGTCAACCCCAGCTAAACCCATGATCTTTGTCAGAGCATGGTCTGATAACACTTCGGCTGTGGCATGGGCAAAACGGCTATCGAGCTCCAATCCACTGGCGCAAGAGCTTAATCGAGCGATCGGACTGGCGGAGGCGATATTTGGCTTTCGTATTTCGTGTGGGCATCTTCCTGGGGCGATAAACACAATGGCGGATGCCGGATCTCGAGCGTGGACATCACCATTTAGTGACACCTGGTCTAACTTATCGTCTGTGTGGTCTCAGGTTCCAGTACCACCAGCGCTACGCAAGATCTACACGGACTTCTCGCTCAATTACAATCCTACTCATCGGCCGCGCAGTCCCGACCAAAGTACGCCGCCACGTGGAAACGATGGTCAGCGTGGTGCTCAGCGAACGGATACAGCAAGTGGCTTCCCGCAGACATGCAGGAGCACTCCTACCAGCTTGCGTTGTTTGCCGTCCACTACTGGGCAAATTCAGGAAAAACCCTCTCAGCGAATACCGTGTTGTCCGCGATCAGCCATGTGTCTTGGTATCCGTAACCTCGGATTGGGGACCCGGGTGGTGGACCCGGGGGGTCTCGCAGTTCGAAGCTTGTACGGATGCCCTTACAGGGAAACGATGTACTCGGGCATCTCCTGCGCCTGCTTCGCAGCCGCAGCATCTGTATCTACCACTGTACAACCAAGTGTACCAAGTTTGATTGCTTCTTTTCAAAGGCATTGCCAGTTCTCTCCAACGAATTGATACTTCAACTCTTGGGTTTGACAAACCCACCGTGGTGATTCTACCTTCTCCTGCTCGTTGGATTAGGACTCCACGAATTTAGTTTTAACTTTAGTTATTTTGTAGTTAGTAGAACGGTTATCAACAGAGGTCCGCCAATACCATAAAAAATTGTATTGCGAGCAGCATGACTCCATAATAAAGATTTCAATATAGCGGCAAGCAATAGTAAATATTGCCGTAATTTATATTGTATTGTTAGTTATTTCTTCATGTTCTTCTAACTCTCGCTCTTCTACCACTACTTCCCGTAGGCACGCCTATCTCGATAAAATCTCTGCGATCCACAGGCCAAAACACGCTGAGCTCCTCCTCTTCAAAACGCGCAATGGCATCTTGTGGTAAATCTGACGCTGGCTGCCAAGTAGGACGGGGGTATCCAACCCAGCTCACAAAGTAGTAGTCGTTGCCATCCAGATCAGTCTTTTTTTCATAAATAAACTCAAGGGTGTATACAATGTTGAATGAGACGCTAGGCCGCCCGAGAATGGCGGCTGCGCTTCTCTACGAGTCTGCTCCTGACCAGTAATTGTATCGACGCTAGTGTAGTGTGGAGGACCCCATTGTTGATGTCATCGGTGGTGCCATGTGATGCCATCAAACGTAGATTTGTGGTGGGCCGCAGAACCGCTCTTTTTCATATTTATTGTCAATTATTGGGTCAATATCATATTGTATTGGTAGTTGGGCTGTCCAACAATAAAGATTTTTATTGCAAAACCCAATTATTTACTGAATTGAAATATATATTTTTTCGACCTCTGGTTATCAGCAACTAGCTAATCAACGTAATTTTATTCCTTCCTGCCTTTGAAACGTGCGCTGATGCCCAGGCAGAATCCTATATTTCTTAGATTGCATCGTGTGCTCGGAAACTTACAGCCGGTGAAAAAACAGAAAAAATACGTGCATTCGAACATTTAGCGCTTCCAGGCTAACTGCCCAATCGAACTTGCAGGGTAACCCGATGAAGCCAGCAATTTGCTTCAAGTTTGATAAGTTAAGACTGAGGTCTAGCAGATCTCGATCGCGTGTAGGAGTTGGATACACCGGGTGTTTGTCCTTCGCGTTGACGATGTCCGCCCGGGCTTCCTCTCTCACAGGAATCCGCGGCGTACAGAAAACGTAGGAGCATTCAAACTCTGTTTGATAAAACATGGCGCAGCCGCACACAGACTTTGTCCGGATCGCCTGAATATCTAACATCAACAAAAACTCCCAGCTTCGATTCGTCCAAGTGTGTTATTGCCATTTATCTAGTATTGAACTGAACGTGCCGCATTCATGTAGCATTAGGATGATCTGAACTAATATTGGTAACAATGTACTTTTAAGTTGTTTTAACAAGAACAGGATAAAGTAGAAGATTATTCTACAGTAGCAAATGGGCTCGGTGGATCTCTGCGGGTCGCAATGTAGTTAAGGCATGCTTAATCATCCAAAGTCTTCGTAGATAAAATGCCTAAGCGAGTGTCGATTTTAATGGCCCCACACGAGCCATTCATATCGATTGATTTGAACTATACTTCTCCCGATTTCATACACGGTCGTCATTCTTTTTGCTGTAGCTTTTAGCCTTTTCTACGGAGAATACATAACACCAGGTGCAGCTAGTGTACTCCCTAACGCTAACATGTTAGTTGCTATACATGTTAGCTAACTGTTAGTTAGTGTCTAGTATTTTGAGCTAACATGTTAGTAGCGTTAGAGCACAAAGATAGGTCAACGTGAGTAAATGTAGGTAAAGGAGAAAAGCTCTATTTATATAGAGAGTTGTTGCCGCTCCAGACTGGGAACACCTGGTTTCGGTCTGTACACCTTCACCTAGCTAGCCCTAATTGCCGTATTGCATCCGACCAGCGTATAGCGTATACTGCTGCCAATGGCTGGCCGATAAGAATAGTTTCGAAACGGAGGGGCGCAAGGAGCGCAGCGGAGCAAATGGGGCGGATTGCAGGAGACCGGGCTGCATCATCGGGCGGCGTCGGCATGGATTGAATGTGGCGCTCCGGAGAAAGTTTGCGATAGCAGCGGAGAACGCTCCAGCTCTACCGCCCGCAACTTGTCGTGAGCGACTGGGCATCTAATTGCGTCGGAGTGTGATCGCGACGTGGCCTTCGGAAGAGGGCTGTGAGGCGAGGCCGATGAAACCTTTGTCGCCCAGGGGGGTTCGTATAGCGCAGCCCAAGACTGTTCCCCAGGGGTAGACCCAGAGAATCGACTTGAAAGTCAACAGCAAGAACATAGACCCAGAGATTCGCAGCCGCAAAGCTTTAAACCCTGAGAATCACACTCCTTGGTTGGCGTGGGTACCTTGTGCAATCCCTGTAGGCTCGTTTGTCTTCGACGGAACGGCACTCCACCGGTTGAAAATGTAGCCTCGAAGAAGTGCGGGAGCGCACGTCTACTTCAGAACGCACCTCCACACTAAAAGGCAAACCCAGAGAATCAGATCCCCTGAAACCCAGAATATCACGAATTCAGGGTCCAGGATTTCAGTCAACTCTGGGACTTGGAACTCAGAAGACACCTTACCCCAATGCCCTTCTAGCTCGATAAAACCAACAAATACAGAGTATACAAACACTACAACTAGCTGTCATTTATTCTTTTGGACCCTTGGATGGTGGGTCACACACACACTAGGCTCACTCGAGTCTGAAATTCAGGGGCCTAGCTCCCCTGAGACTCACACAAACGCACACCACCTCCAATAAAGGAGGAAAATACAATCACTATCAGTTACCTTCCCTTCACACAAGCAGTCAATACAAAATCCTGGAGGCGACTACCTAGCACCCCAGAATACCCTCTGGAATAATATGAAATGGGCTACCACGAGCACAGCAAGTGACCCAACTAGGATATGGAATAGATGGATCACACCAGGAAGCTCAAGGCCGTCGCTGGTCACCACCTAACTGGACTTGAGTTTGATGGAGCCCACACAGACGGCTGTCCTTCGCCGTTGATGTTCCCTTAGCGTCCCGCGGTCGTAGTCTCGGGTCCTCCGGATTTCCGTCGGCAGGTTTGGCCGAAGTCACTTGGGCAGTACAGGGAAATTTGAACTCTGTTTGGTTTTTATCAGCTACTTCTCTCTCTCTCTTCTTCGGGCAAATATCTTCTGTTCACTATGCTTGGGGTCAAATGTCTTGTCTTGAGTATACCTTGGGTTCAGCGGTCCAAACTTGCGATCGGCTTGCGAATCCATTGTCGCACGGCGTCGAAAATGCCAATTGTGGGTCCTTTGACTTGGTTTAGTATGGTGCAGGACTTCCTCTCAACTCCTTGAAAGTATCCAGTCTGCGCATCCACAACGGTACTTCAAGGTCACGCATCACTTTGATTGCAGACTGGCTTCGAACTGACTCGAGTCCCTGAAAAATAGGTGACACTCAGGGTCATCTTCTGAAATCCTGGGAATTCTGAGGAATCTTGGGGAACGGTGGGGATTCTTGGGTGTTGGCTCGGGAAACACTTAAGTTCAGTATAGAGAGTCTGGATTTGTGGTCCAAACCCAGAGAATCATCTCTGGAACTCTGGGTCACCTGCACTCAGGGAGGTGAACTCTGGGTCATCGTGCGGCACTCTGGGTAACAAGTCTGCTGCATTGCAGGCTCGCGTGTATCTCCACAAAACCACACTTTTAGCGGGTTTAGCGGCCTCCTGCGCATGATCATGGTGGTAGTGGGTTGATTCTCAGGGTAATTTGATCCTCTGGAGCACTCTGAGCCACAGTAAGATGAGGTATACTCTGGGATACATTCTCCAGAGACACTTTCCGCCAGACTTTAGGCACTTATCGTAAGGGAAAGTCCGCGGCTGGACTGAGTGTTCTCTGAAATCCTGGGCGTGCACTCCCAGGATTCACACTTCCAGCCAGTTGGGCCCATCTGCGGTCAGGCGCTGGATTCATCCCGAGAAATCACTTCTCTCCCACAGTCGCCATCCATGTCACGCGGGTACAGCCGCGCCGTATCCAAGTCATCCACCAATCAGCATCCGATACAAACTCCAAGTCACAGAGGTGACGGCACATCGTCGGTAATTTTCTGGGGACCGCCTCGTGTCAGCTGTCAAGGTACGCCGACGTGGTCGCTTTACCGATTGGGAGATTGAGGGAGTCCTGGCTAAACGTTTGTGTCTTGTGCCAGACGGCTGAAGTGTATAGCTACGACCCGGCCCAAATACGAGCTTGGCGGCGAGTGCTCTAGGTGCTTGCCCCGCAAAGGATAAGACTGTCGAGCTCTACCACGTCCAGCTCACGGAGATCGACCCCGACTTCGTTCGCTCGGACGCTTTGTTTGGCTCGGACGATGAGGCGGAGGAATGGACGAAGAGGAGAACGCTATCGAGGACGATTTACACGACTCGGAGGTGAACTGCCCCAAAACGCACGCTGTTGTGGAGAGTAAAGCTGAGAGCGACAAGGACAATCAGCCGGCAGCAAAGGTTGCTGGAGGTTTTGCAGCACGCTGCGGACAGCATTGGTGGCCAGCGCTACGAGTGGAATTTGTAATGTCTCTGATTTGTAGAAGACCAAGAAATGCACGTATACATCTTGCTTGTCTGCGTTATTCTTGCACGCGTCTGCGGGTCGTGGTTCATCTACTTATCCGCGCCGAGTTCACTCGATGCATGGGGGATGTATCGCAGCATGATCCTGGCCGAGCACGACAAGTACAACGCTGTGGAGTTGGAGCCTGTGGGCTCGTGTTTCGTCGAGCTGACTCCCAGCATGGTTTTCAAGCCAGCTCGTGGTCTTCTCTCCCAGCACTACTAACCGGAGTGTATACCCTAGCTAACTCCCCACCGCCTAACCTGCTGTACTAGTCTGGACGAGTCTGGAGGGTCTGGAGCTCAGTTCTGGAGTGTCTGGAGAGTCTGGAGCTCAGTCTGGAGGAGTTCTGGAGCTCCAGTCTCGTCGCATGTTCCCCAGTCTGGAGCAGCAACACGTGCCATTTATATAAACGTTTGTAAGCTATTCTAATAATCTATTCTGACCTGTTCTCGCATTGTTTGGCCATAGTGTAGCTGGGACTAGGTTGCAGACCATACTTGAAGTTCAAACCAGACATAGAGGGCATACTTGAAGTTTAAGCCAGACTTAGAGGACATAAATTTGTTCAACTCTTAGCTTTATTTAGTCATTGCGCGGTGCGTGTGCGCCAAGAATGTATCAATAATCTAATCTTATCCGATATGGATTTAATTCGTAGATATGTGCCAAGAACGCTAGCACGATACATAGTTAAAGTAATGGCCCGAGTTGAAGTTGTATCACAAGATGGGACCCTACGATAAGATTTTCCTATCTTTAATTTCTCTTCAGCCACTGCTATTTAAAGGTTGCGCTTCAACATATCCCTTCACTGCCTATCTATGCAGCTCTTTTGAGTCTCCGCTGAATGAATTCGTTCGCCACCGTATAGGACGTCACCGCATTGCCGGCGGATAGATTTGGCTTTGGATAAAAATATGTTGAATGAAAAAAATCAAGCTATAATTCCCATCTTGGATCGCATAACCTTAAAAACGTTAACCCCTGGCCGTAGGATAAAAGAAAGGATCAAAATTTAGCGCTTTTTACAGAAACGACTGCTGGGAAATACGAGTATCTGAAGCCACACACACAAAGCCTTTTCCTTCCTCTACAAGATACTAGTGTCCACTTGGTGTCTCTCATTGTCTTTCATTGCGAAATTGCCGCATGAAAAGTGTCTCTAACACCTTATCAAAAATCCAGATTTATCCTATCTGCCAGGATAAAAATCGCATTTAGACTTGAGCTGAGTATTGGTCTGAATACCTCTACAATTTTATGCTTCCAACGGTGGCTTTGTCAAATGCGACACGACCGATAAGATGGGAGACGCCTCCGATACAAACGCCAAGTCATTTTTTATCCTACGGCGGCCTCGCTAGGATAAAACGGCCTGTGTGTGCCGTATCAACAAAGGATTTGATCCTTTTTCGCAGGATAAATTTCACTGGGGTTAAGTAGTTTATGCGAAGTTTTAGTGGAATGTTTTATCTAATCCATCCAGACACATTCCAGGATTCACAGAATATCAGCCTGCCGAGAATTTAAGTCACGGCAAACTCAGGTGACCAAAAGACTTTCAATAAATCTCTATGCATGCAGAAGAAAATCTGTGTCTGAAAGAGGAGGGTATAAGTTATGACCCAGGACTGAACAGATTGAATCGATAGCTTTAACACTAATGAAATGAGTGAGTACTATGTTGAGTGCTCTGGAGCCGCATGCAGTTTAATACGATGCAGTGGAACTGTTCCAAAATTGACACAATTCTTCATGACACAATTTGTGGAGACGATATTTGCGTCTTCGCATATTGTACTGGGTACGCAGCCCTATTTTTGTGCTCATGACACATTTATTTTTGTGTTGTTTTTGGAAGAGTTCCAGTGATGTGGTAATGACATCAGTTGTGCTCAAGGTCAGCATCGAGGTTCGTAATTGTCACGGACGCCATTACTACGACGAACAACGTACATGTACATAACGTTATCTGTGCAATAGCAAGAATTGCATTCTTTCGAACAATAAAATGTTTGTGCTGGAGCTCCACTCCTCTGGTGGCGCCTGGCATCAATCTAGAAGGAAAAGAAGCTCCGAGGCGAATAGGCATCTATCAAAAGCTGTAAGTGTAATTCAGACCGGATTCTATTGAGTGCTGCATGATGTTGTGTAAGTGACGAATGTAGCGTGAATGTCGTTCCATGTCATCCAAAAACCTTCCCCAATCGACAGTTCTTCGAACTGCGAATACTCGGTCGGGCTGCACGCGGGACACAACATGGCCGTGCGGGGGATGCAGCGGTTGTCACCACCTCCACGCCAAAAGCAACCAGTCACAATGGCCATTCTACGCGAAATACGGAGAAGATGCAACTTCCAGTCAGCCCACGACCGCGTGCTCTGGGGGGCTGCGGTCATGGGCTTCTTCTTTCTACTGAGGCGGTCGGAGTACCTCGCGGATGGTACAAAGGTGAAGCCATATATTATTCGAGTCAACGACGTGCAATTCCTCTCCACGCAAGGGGCCCCGGCTCGCTCAATCGACAAGGTGGCTGCAGTCTCGATCAAGTTCCGCGGGAGCAAGTCAGACCAAGTCGGGGCCGGGGCTACGAGAACACTACACAGATCGGGCTCTGCATGGCTGTGCCCAGTGCTAGCAACATGGGAGCTAGCACAGAATGCTCGCATGTTCGGCAGCAATGAAGCTCTGTGCTACCGGTACCGGCAAGGTCCTCGCCGCAAATCGTCTGGCTGAAGCAATCAAGTGTGCCGCTGCCGCTGCGGGGGCAGACCCTTCAACTTTCGGAACTCACTCCATGAGGAGCGGAGGGGCGACGGCACTCTTCGCGGCTGGGGTCGACAGACTCACAATCAAATTATTCGGAAGATGGTCCTCCGACGCGTTCGAGCGATACACCAGGATGAACGAGGCAACAACAAGATCAGATGGAAAGAGGGGCCCGGTCACGTGTCAGCCCAGTTACACTGGTTGGGGCTTCGTCCAGCTCCAACACGGAGCTCGACTATTAGCTAACACGTATCCGAACATGATTTGACATCGCTGCATTATCTCTGAAATTACGGATTATCCGCAACGTAGGGAAGGCTTCATTCGAGTCCGCATCACTACTTCTACTGGGTACCTGGGCACAGCAGACAAGTCGTAGCGCAATAAAACACTATCGAGCGACGTACACGCCTCTGTCTCAATGCGCCAAATGCAGCGGGGCCGTGCAGCAGGCAGAGTGATCTAGGAAAGACAAACTACTCGTCAGTACAGGGCTGTGAGCCAGGAGCAGCCCGACCCCTCGCTGCTGCTTCAAACTTGTCCTGATGCGAACTGAATAAGCATGGTATAGGCGACCGCCTCAGATGACTACCATGATACTCGGCTGTTGCAACTCACGACAAGTGGTGGCATCACCGCCAGCAAAAATACAGCTGGAAGGAGTGACTGAGTTGGTAAGTCCTGGGGGTTGGCCACGTGGTTCTTTGGGTCAGATCTGCGAACGAAGGCGTTAGCTAGAACATGCGTCGCGTGGAACGTTTGCAATAATCGATCAGACGCTTAGTGATGCATAGTACTCGCTAATTGCTGAACGAATGTAGTTCCTAACGCTTAAAGTCAAGTGGAGAATCCTTGGGGCTTGCTACATGATCGACCTGATTCTTCACCGAGCCGAGCTTGGCGGACATCGACGAGCGTTGAACTGTAGTGGTATGCGGATTTCGCTGCTCGAAAACAGCGCGTTCGTGTCAAGCAGAATGCCTCCCACCTCGCGCCTAGTTTAACAGGAGGTCCCGACGTATTGCACAAGACGCAAGGCGACAACCACAGCGAGATAGGGCCGTTGAAGCAGAGCCCCCTGCCGAAGCTGCTGCCCGGGAGGAAGTACTCCGGAGCCCGCGGACGGAGGCACTGCAGCTAATAGACACAGAAGCTCAGCTCGACGGGTGGTTTCTTGATCAAAGGGCAACGCGCACAGCAACTGAAGAGCGTTCACGCGCAGAGCTCTACAGGAGCGAGGGCGTCGCGGTGTCCTGCCTGGCGTCTTCGTCCGCGTCGATGGCACCGCATAAAGCGCCGACGAGGTTGGCAGTCGGCACCAGTCAATTGGTGGAAGATCGCTGCGCAAAGACGCGGGGCTGCAGGACGTTTAACCCGTGAAAGCCGATCATTAGGACAAATTTGTCTAGTTGTTAGCTGACAATTTTTCAGCAAATGGTAAGCAAGAAAAGCTGGCTCCACATTGCACACTCATTCACGCTATTAGCGCCAGTCGCCAGAGCTGCTCTCTTCACGCTGCTGTTCGTGTTCTCCCCATAAGCTCGACTGCTTGGCCGCGCGCGCCAGTCCTCTAGCCGCCAAGTGCTCTCGAGCGCGCAGCAACAGCTCTAGGCCCAGGGTTCGGCAGCACTCGGATGATCTGGGCCAGACCGACGCCACTGGAAGGAAGCCTCACAAGGTCCAGGGAGGACGAGCAGCGTTCTTGGAGGAAAGGTTGTTGTCGCAGTGGTGGTGAGTGCCATGCATGAGTCATCATGGGTCATGCCGCATGGCCCGAAGCAGTGGTACGTTTGACCGCCAAGACGTCGAGCTCGTTGCTGATGGGGGACACCATTGAGCGCGAGCATGTTGTGAGCATCGGTCTGCTGTCTGTCCGTCACATGCCCGAGGATCACCCCGCGCTTCTTCCGCGACAACATGAAGCTGCTGTTGTTCTGCATCCGGGTGCGCCGAGAACCAGCTCCAACCACAGCCTGAGCTGCTCTTCTCCTAATTGCGCGTGGCTGTCGACCTACTGGAGCTTCTTCTCGACGTGCTTATTGTTGTTGGTGTTGGCGTTGGTGCTGGTGCATCTTCCGTACCGCACACGGCTTGGGATTATGGCGACGAGTCTGCGGAGGACTTCGGTTCACAGACTCGCGGGCTGTCGTGATTTCGAACACGTCACGTCCTGCGTTCCATTTGCTCGATACTCGCGTGCACACGTGTTAATCGTGCGTACAGCTTGTTGCCGTACTACAAGCAGAAAACAAACAAGTCAAATTGTGGACATTAGTCATCGCCGACGTGAACTTTCAGCTGCTCATGACGGCTCGAACCTGGCAGGTGATGGAGATTCGTTGCGATGGTCCCTCGTCAAGCAGCCTCGCTGACCCGGCCACCCACTGTCCGCTTGGTATAGCTCACGCGCAGTGCTGCTAAGCTGCTCCACCATTCATCGCAGGCACCAGAGCGCAGAGCACCGACAGCCAGGTTAAATCACGCACGTAACCGCTGCCGTCGTGGCCGTTCAACTGCAAGCAAGGAAGGAGCGACCGTTCGACATAGTACGCGGTCGCTCATGTTGACTTGACCTCGTCGAGGTTAAAGCTGGCTGTGCTTAACAGCACCGCGCCCATGGTGCTTAGCCCCATATCGCTATCACTCCCAGATACTCCATGCCTCTGACCTTCACTTCTTGCCAAGTGGATATCTTTCGACATAGAATGGTAAAACGACCCCTGGAGAGCCTGTCGCCGCAGACCGTCGCGCGGAGACCGAGCCGAGCTCTCAGTCTGCACTTTGGATTCTGATGCTGGGATGGAGTTTCGCGGCCGTAAGCAACCGCGGCGTCGGGTCCTCACTCCCTATACGGCTACCGACGCTGCCAGTCGACGCAGCTTTGCCTCTGCCCATGGCTCAGTGTCCACAGCTCGCTACGATGACGAGTCCAGGGAGGCCGAGGTAGTTCCGGCGGCTGGACTAGTCAAGGTGACGAACCGCTGGCGCCTTGAGGAGGACGTTGAGATGAAGACTCCGACCGCAGTCGCGGCCAACGCATTCGCGCGTGCAGCTTTGACGGACAGGCGCAAGGCGAGGAAGAAGCCCAACTACCTCCACCACTGGGAGCGGTGCGCCATCATCAAGCGCGTCGCGGAGGGGGAGCCCCAGGCGGCGCTGGCCCGCGAGTTCGGCGTCACCCGCGCCGCCGTCTGCCAGATGTACAAGAACAGGAAGAAGATCCTCGCGCGTGAACCGAGCAGCGAAGAAGAGCTAGAGCCTCCTCTGTCTTCTTCTTCTTCTCCGCTTCTCCTTCCCCTCCTGCTCCACAGACGGTCGCGCGTCTCGGTCCAAGACGGTGGCGCTGCTCTTGGCGACGCTCAAGGCGCGGGGAACGAACCCAGCCGCAATCCGCCGCGCAGCAGCCCGACTGACTTTGTATGGATATGGCTAAGCATTGTTCTTGTGTTCAATGATACGACTGGGTACTAACTAACGACCGGGTGTTTCTTGCCTGCGTCTTGCAGCATTTTGATCGAGGAGGTGATTGCGAGCTTCGATACGCTCAACGAACCTACTGGTGCAACTGAGCAATCGCTCTCGGCGTCAGAGCAGATCATCCCGTTCTGCGGAGTCGTCCTCGGCGACGAAAGCGCTGCGTTTGCGCGGGCCTTTGAGCAATTGGACCCCGGCGCACCCACAGGTAGGCGCAGTATGATCGTACCAAGATATCGGAAGCGGTCTCGATATCTAAAGGGAAGCCCAATGCTGTTCAGGCCAGATCCAAGTGAAGATGGATGTGGTGGACGACGGACGTGTGTGCTGGCGACTGGTGTATCTGGACGTGCCGGAAGACGTTTCCAGCTATGAAGTGCTCGTCTTTTCGACTTTTGGAAATGGCGGCGCAGAGTGCAGGGCGATCGAGGTGCGTTGGCGACGACAAACTTTCAATTCTTCATCGTAAATAGCTCACAACAATTGTATATTGATGTGCTAGGGTAGGCTGAAGCTCGAGGGAGTACCAATAATGATTGTCGTCGGCTGGCCCTGTCGATGGCTTCATCCCTATCCCATAAGGAATGACGGCTCCTCGGACGGTAGGCCACCTCGTGCTTTTCGGGCTCCCTGCTTCTGTCGCCTTTGTATTGGTACTGACCTCGCCAGGGAGTATTTGGTTGCATCCTCTGAAGCTCGGTGCGGGCATATTTCGTTCTATACTTGAGCTTTGCTAAACGAAGCGCGGTGTTGGTTGTCTTTAACGTTGTCTGAAGGTGGACTGGTTGGTACCAGACAGCAACGGACACAAGGCCGGAATTTGCATCCCTTTAACTCTTACGCGTTCTACCTGGTTCTCAAGCGTGGGGAGCAAGTGAATCGAGGTCTTCGGTATGATCGCATCTTCGATGGTCTCAACCGAAGCGAAAAGAAGCCATCTATTTGTGGCAGGTACTGTGAAAAGGATGCGCTGATTGCTTTGGGCCTTCGTTCGCTTGGTGTCGGTGTAGCTTACGACTTGTAGTTACGAGGTTTTAGCTATTGCTTGGCAGGTGGTAGTCCACGCGTGAGAAGGTAAGTACCAGTCGTGAGTTTGCGGTATTAAGGTGCGTGAAACCGCTGGAGTTGGCCGACTACCAAACCGAAGTTCTCGAATTTATGTTCGCTCAGCCGAACTCATGTGCTGTGTTTTGTCGTATTACGGTGTCAGATCGTGTGAAAGGACTCTGCCTCTTTGAGGTGGGATCGGAAACGTGCAAGCCAGGGAGAACCTGTTGTGGCTCTCTGTTGTCTCCCCTTTTCAAGAAGAAGGGAGGGTCATGGTGGATAAAGAGCACGCGTCCAGCACAACGTCTGCTTGTAAATCCAACTACATGCCATATCAAGCACTAGCTAGCTCTTGGGCGCCTGCTATCAGCCCATGCGCAGCTGTGGCGATCGAACCACTGGCGTTTGGCCGTTATACTTCTTCAAACACGCTTTTAGTTTCCTTAACTTTGCAGCGAGCATTGGCTATTTATTAATATTCATTCAACTGGTCCACTTTTTCCTTTTCTTTTTCATCTACACCTCGGTGGCCACCGGCGGTGTAAATTAATCCGAGGTGCAACGAAGTGAACAAGGATAATTAGTTTTCCGAATGTAGGAAGGCTCAAGAATCCAACTCACTACCAGCGGGCTGAAACCTCTGCCAGATAAGACCTGCAAGCATCGACAAACGACCAAGCGAGACAGCGCACTCTGGATCTGGCCCCGCAAAACTCAAGCAACACGCTGACACGAGTCGCGCTCACTTCGTGAAGGCCAGACCGGAGCGGCCGTGGCCGGAACAACCCCGCGCAAGCCCAAGCTTCAGGCCATCGGCGCGCTAGCCAAAGTTCAACCCTCCCACCATCCCTTAGGGCTGCCATTCGTCACCTTGCACTCAACCAAAGGAGCTCATGACTTTGGCCCATTAACACAATGAAAACACTTTAATCCCCCACGCCTGGATGCATCGAGGAAAAGTCTCAGGCGCAGCGCTTTGCTCCTGCGAGCCTCCCTGAAGAGACCAGTCGTCGTCTAGCGCACCCAGAGTGACGGCCACACCTACACAACGACCACTTTCAGCCTCCAAGCGTACAGATTCCTTGCTTGCGTGACTACGTACGTGGAAATCGTGTCGAGATCTCTTTATAGCCGAGCGATGTGCAGGCAACCATAACCAAAGATATCCGCTGTTCGAGGATACCCACGCGACGCAGCGCCTAGCACATCAATATACAATTGTTGTGAGCTATTTACGATGAAGAATTGAAAGTTTGTCGTCGCCAACGCACCTCGATCGCCCTGCACTCTGCGCCGCCATTTCCAAAAGTCGAAAAGACGAGCACTTCATAGCTGGAAACGTCTTCCGGCACGTCCAGATACACCAGTCGCCAGCACACACGTCCGTCGTCCACCACATCCATCTTCACTTGGATCTGGCCTGAACAGCATTGGGCTTCCCTTTAGATATCGAGACCGCTTCCGATATCTTGGTACGATCATACTGCGCCTACCTGTGGGTGCGCCGGGGTCCAATTGCTCAAAGGCCCGCGCAAACGCAGCGCTTTCGTCGCCGAGGACGACTCCGCAGAACGGGATGATCTGCTCTGACGCCGAGAGCGATTGCTCAGTTGCACCAGTAGGTTCGTTGAGCGTATCGAAGCTCGCAATCACCTCCTCGATCAAAATGCTGCAAGACGCAGGCAAGAAACACCCGGTCGTTAGTTAGTACCCAGTCGTATCATTGAACACAAGAACAATGCTTAGCCATATCCATACAAAGTCAGTCGGGCTGCTGCGCGGCGGATTGCGGCTGGGTTCGTTCCCCGCGCCTTGAGCGTCGCCAAGAGCAGCGCCACCGTCTTGGACCGAGACGCGCGACCGTCTGTGGAGCAGGAGGGGAAGGAGAAGCGGAGAAGAAGAAGAAGACAGAGGAGGCTCTAGCTCTTCTTCGCTGCTCGGTTCACGCGCGAGGATCTTCTTCCTGTTCTTGTACATCTGGCAGACGGCGGCGCGGGTGACGCCGAACTCGCGGGCCAGCGCCGCCTGGGGCTCCCCCTCCGCGACGCGCTTGATGATGGCGCACCGCTCCCAGTGGTGGAGGTAGTTGGGCTTCTTCCTCGCCTTGCGCCTGTCCGTCAAAGCTGCACGCGCGAATGCGTTGGCCGCGACTGCGGTCGGAGTCTTCATCTCAACGTCCTCCTCAAGGCGCCAGCGGTTCGTCACCTTGACTAGTCCAGCCGCCGGAACTACCTCGGCCTCCCTGGACTCGTCATCGTAGCGAGCTGTGGACACTGAGCCATGGGCAGAGGCAAAGCTGCGTCGACTGGCAGCGTCGGTAGCCGTATAGGGAGTGAGGACCCGACGCCGCGGTTGCTTACGGCCGCGAAACTCCATCCCAGCATCAGAATCCAAAGTGCAGACTGAGAGCTCGGCTCGGTCTCCGCGCGACGGTCTGCGGCGACAGGCTCTCCAGGGGTCGTTTTACCATTCTATGTCGAAAGATATCCACTTGGCAAGAAGTGAAGGTCAGAGGCATGGAGTATCTGGGAGTGATAGCGATATGGGGCTAAGCACCATGGGCGCGGTGCTGTTAAGCACAGCCAGCTTTAACCTCGACGAGGTCAAGTCAACATGAGCGACCGCGTACTATGTCGAACGGTCGCTCCTTCCTTGCTTGCAGTTGAACGGCCACGACGGCAGCGGTTACGTGCGTGATTTAACCTGGCTGTCGGTGCTCTGCGCTCTGGTGCCTGCGATGAATGGTGGAGCAGCTTAGCAGCACTGCGCGTGAGCTATACCAAGCGGACAGTGGGTGGCCGGGTCAGCGAGGCTGCTTGACGAGGGACCATCGCAACGAATCTCCATCACCTGCCAGGTTCGAGCCGTCATGAGCAGCTGAAAGTTCACGTCGGCGATGACTAATGTCCACAATTTGACTTGTTTGTTTTCTGCTTGTAGTACGGCAACAAGCTGTACGCACGATTAACACGTGTGCACGCGAGTATCGAGCAAATGGAACGCAGGACGTGACGTGTTCGAAATCACGACAGCCCGCGAGTCTGTGAACCGAAGTCCTCCGCAGACTCGTCGCCATAATCCCAAGCCGTGTGCGGTACGGAAGATGCACCAGCACCAGCACCAACGCCAACACCAACAACAATAAGCACGTCGAGAAGAAGCTCCAGTAGGTCGACAGCCACGCGCAATTAGGAGAAGAGCAGCTCAGGCTGTGGTTGGAGCTGGTTCTCGGCGCACCCGGATGCAGAACAACAGCAGCTTCATGTTGTCGCGGAAGAAGCGCGGGGTGATCCTCGGGCATGTGACGGACAGACAGCAGACCGATGCTCACAACATGCTCGCGCTCAATGGTGTCCCCCATCAGCAACGAGCTCGACGTCTTGGCGGTCAAACGTACCACTGCTTCGGGCCATGCGGCATGACCCATGATGACTCATGCATGGCACTCACCACCACTGCGACAACAACCTTTCCTCCAAGAACGCTGCTCGTCCTCCCTGGACCTTGTGAGGCTTCCTTCCAGTGGCGTCGGTCTGGCCCAGATCATCCGAGTGCTGCCGAACCCTGGGCCTAGAGCTGTTGCTGCGCGCTCGAGAGCACTTGGCGGCTAGAGGACTGGCGCGCGCGGCCAAGCAGTCGAGCTTATGGGGAGAACACGAACAGCAGCGTGAAGAGAGCAGCTCTGGCGACTGGCGCTAATAGCGTGAATGAGTGTGCAATGTGGAGCCAGCTTTTCTTGCTTACCATTTGCTGAAAAATTGTCAGCTAACAACTAGACAAATTTGTCCTAATGATCGGCTTTCACGGGTTAAACGTCCTGCAGCCCCGCGTCTTTGCGCAGCGATCTTCCACCAATTGACTGGTGCCGACTGCCAACCTCGTCGGCGCTTTATGCGGTGCCATCGACGCGGACGAAGACGCCAGGCAGGACACCGCGACGCCCTCGCTCCTGTAGAGCTCTGCGCGTGAACGCTCTTCAGTTGCTGTGCGCGTTGCCCTTTGATCAAGAAACCACCCGTCGAGCTGAGCTTCTGTGTCTATTAGCTGCAGTGCCTCCGTCCGCGGGCTCCGGAGTACTTCCTCCCGGGCAGCAGCTTCGGCAGGGGGCTCTGCTTCAACGGCCCTATCTCGCTGTGGTTGTCGCCTTGCGTCTTGTGCAATACGTCGGGACCTCCTGTTAAACTAGGCGCGAGGTGGGAGGCATTCTGCTTGACACGAACGCGCTGTTTTCGAGCAGCGAAATCCGCATACCACTACAGTTCAACGCTCGTCGATGTCCGCCAAGCTCGGCTCGGTGAAGAATCAGGTCGATCATGTAGCAAGCCCCAAGGATTCTCCACTTGACTTTAAGCGTTAGGAACTACATTCGTTCAGCAATTAGCGAGTACTATGCATCACTAAGCGTCTGATCGATTATTGCAAACGTTCCACGCGACGCATGTTCTAGCTAACGCCTTCGTTCGCAGATCTGACCCAAAGAACCACGTGGCCAACCCCCAGGACTTACCAACTCAGTCACTCCTTCCAGCTGTATTTTTGCTGGCGGTGATGCCACCACTTGTCGTGAGTTGCAACAGCCGAGTATCATGGTAGTCATCTGAGGCGGTCGCCTATACCATGCTTATTCAGTTCGCATCAGGACAAGTTTGAAGCAGCAGCGAGGGGTCGGGCTGCTCCTGGCTCACAGCCCTGTACTGACGAGTAGTTTGTCTTTCCTAGATCACTCTGCCTGCTGCACGGCCCCGCTGCATTTGGCGCATTGAGACAGAGGCGTGTACGTCGCTCGAACGACTTGTCTGCTGTGCCCAGGTACCCAGTAGAAGTAGTGATGCGGACTCGAATGATGCCTTCCCTACGTTGCGGATAATCCGTAATGGACCATACCGGCTTATCGTGTGCTATAATACCTCATCTACGCGGTCTGAGGGCATGCAATTGCACCTCTTAGTCACCATAGCTGCTGGAGTTTACTAGGACGCCTACCACATGACCGCGTGAGCAGCAAGTTGCCAGATTACGAGAACCGGACGGCAGGGACTGCGTAGCAGGCAGCACGTCCTCGACAGCTGACTTGAAGGATGAAGCTATGAAGCGGAACTTGAACAAAGTAGGAGTAAGTCAGCAGGAACACCTGTGTGATGTATCGAGCGCTGGGGAAGTTACCCAGTGTGGATTTTACAGCGTGCTTGAGACTGACCGAGGTGAAAGTCGGTCGATACAGTCAACGCAAAGTGAGATGCATTTTTTGTTAGGCAGTACGCCCGGCCAGGGCTAGAATTCGAGACTCCAGCGTTTTTTCTACCGTGAATGTACAGGTGCGTATCGTTTGGTACAACTACAGTGTGACACGAACCTCTTTAATATTATCCTTCTGCTACAGTGGGCTGAAGAAGCAAACGGTTTGAAGCGTGATGACGAGGCTGATCACTGGCTGCCTTCAAGGCGTTCGAGGTAAAATAATACTGTGATATGGGGATCACCTTCGCCTCGCTTCAGAGAAGCTCGATGCGTGCGTATTTCTTGCTTCTCTTGTGTTGATCCACTTTTGCAGACCGATTCTGTGATGTGTGTAGGCGTGAGTTGCAAGAATTAAGCGCATGAAGCGCGGCGAAAAGCCGAGCTCTTAACGCCATCGCTGAGTCGGTGACATCGAACAGGTGAGATGCCATCTTGTACATATATTGCTAGAGCCAGGGACCAGTGCAAATGCATTATGCTTAGTGCTGGTGCCTTTCATGTACATATTGTACTGTTCTGCAGGTTCCAGCTCGATGTTTGAGAAGCGATTGCGACTTCGCAGTACCCAGGTGAGTGAAGCCCATCTACTGCTGAAGGCGGATGATCGATCGCACGGTCTCCGGTTTAACCCCTCTAACCCCGTATTCTGTATCCTACAGAATAAGCATTGTCCCAGGACATAATATCCAGCAAACTTGTCCTCTCTTTCGAACTTCGCATATGGATGTTTGTATAGCCGGTATTATGCACATCCTCCTGTTGGATTAGCGATGGGTAGATAGACGGGGTTTATTCGGCGGTAATAGACGGACGAGTATAAACCACCAACAGGTTTGAAAATTCGGGTGGAAGCTAAAACCGCCGCGTGTCAGCCACTCGTACTTTCATTCTTTCCGAAACTGCGCTGTTCAAGACGTCGCAATGCAAGCTTTGTTGGGGGCCGTCGAGCGCGCCCAAGTGGCCAAGGACCATGGCCGAAGACGATCATGATGAGCGCCATTGTGATCTACAGGTAAGCGAGAGCGTGTACTTTGCTCTGTAACATCGTACTAGTGGTATATTGATTCTACGTTGCGATGTTGATTACCAGACCTGGTGATCCGACCCAGACGACGCTATGAGCTCTCGCGTGTGGCCCGATTGCGGAGTCAGCGCACAACCTCATCGGTTCCTACGAAGCCGGCTACAGCCGGGTCTACCGCTATATTGTAGCTGATGCAGTGGCTACTCAAGAGGCTACAGAAGAAGCGCTCCTTATGGTGTGGCTACACCGGAGACTACAGAAGAAGCGGTAGATGCTACGACGGATGCTACAGAAGAAGCTCTCCGCGTGATGAGGTTACACCGGAGATTACAGAAGAAGGGACAGAGGCTACGACGGAGGCTACCGATGAAAGCGGCAGGAATGGAGCGGCAGTGCCGGAGGCTACAGATCAAAGCGGAGGCTGCCAAAATGGCGAAGATGACCCACGGCTGGCGCGAACATTGAAGAGCGTGCGCATGTAAAGGAAGAAGTAGACGTTGGCATGAATATCATATATTGTCCTGTTTCGTACAAGAGGAACCGTGTGTAGTGCGTGTCATTACGGGCTATTGAGCATGCAAGCTCCCTGGTGTTGTTCGAGAGACAATCGTAACAAGCTTGTTAGGTGGGCTAAAGAAATCTAATGATGCGCTAATGTCAAGCACAAGGAAGAATTCGCCCAGTTCCTCCTCACTACGTCAGTTAGGAACAGGGCGATTTCTTCCTCCGCGTTTATCGCGACGTGCCGAAGGTGGGTGGCTGGAGCCGAAGTATGCTGCCTTAGCAGCCTTGCAAGGTATTACCAGGTAGCAGGTTTTGAGCGTGCTCTACGCTCGCCACGACCAATAGAAGCTCGCTATTTCGGCATATGGTGGATACATTGAGCATGTTTTGTTCACTTTCGTAGCTGTTCTGTGCACAATGTACCCAGCGCTCGACCGCAAGATGCGAAAGGGCTTCCAACAGCAAATCTTTGACAGGTTTTGAAGTATACTTTAATCAAGTCTAATGCTTATTCTGTAGGATACAGAATAAGGTCTGGGGCTAGAAGGGTTAAATTGGCTTACTTACCGTTGAATTTTATATTCGCTGCTCAGCGGCGACAAATAGCGCGTGCACGAGGAGTCTCGAGGTAGGAACGGAGATATGCCGGATGTTTGCTGTTCTAACCCTTTGGTTCTCATCATCTTCAATATGAAGAGGATATCATTGCGGTCCTCTACACGAGGATTGCGCATCCTACTATCTGCTACTTAGCTAGCAACCATTGGGGCACTGTGAATGCTGGAATTCATCGGAATCGGAATGAGATGCGCTGGCAAGCGTACGTTTTATCTAATTTCGAGTGTTGGTGCTCCATTTGTATTCAACTACTCGGGTTTTTTTCTGCTTCTAGTCCTTCGCGGGCCCACAAGAAGCTTGAGTGGCCCGTTTTGCTGTTGCACACCTCCTTGAATAGACCAGTCGTCGTCTAGCGCACCCAGAGTGACGGCCACACCTACACAACGACCACTTTCAGCCTCCAAGCGTACAGATTCCTTGCTTGCGTGGCTACGTACGTGGAAATCGTGTCGAGATCTCTTTATAGCCGAGCGATGTGCAGGCAACCATAACCAAAGATATCCGCTGTTCGAGGATACCCACGCGACGCAGCGCCTAGCACATCAATATACAATTGTTGTGAGCTATTTACGATGAAGAATTGAAAGTTTGTCGTCGCCAACGCACCTCGATCGCCCTGCACTCTGCGCCGCCATTTCCAAAAGTCGAAAAGACGAGCACTTCATAGCTGGAAACGTCTTCCGGCACGTCCAGATACACCAGTCGCCAGCACACACGCCCGTCGTCCACCACGTCCATCTTCACTTGGATCTGGCCTGAACAGCATTGGGCTTCCCTTTAGATATCGAGACCGCTTCCGATATCTTGGTACGATCATACTGCGCCTACCTGTGGGTGCGCCGGGGTCCAATTGCTCAAAGGCCCGCGCAAACGCAGCGCTTTCGTCGCCGAGGACGACTCCGCAGAACGGAATGATCTGCTCTGACGCCGAGAACGATTGCTCAGTTGCACCAGTAGGTTCGTTGAGCGTATCGAAGCTCGCAATCACCTCCTCGATCAAAATGCTGCAAGACGCAGGCAAGAAACACCCGGTCGTTAGTTAGTACCCAGTCGTATCATTGAACACAACAACAATGTTTAGCCATATCCATACAAAGTCAGTCGGGCTGCTGCGCGGCGGGTTGCGGCTGGGTTCGTTCCCCGCGCCTTGAGCGTCGCCAAGAGCAGCGCCACCGTCTTGGACCGAGACGCGATCGTCTGTGGAGCAGGAGGAGAAGGAGCAGGAGCAGGAGAAGGCTCTAGTTCCTCTTCGCTGCTCGGTTCGTGCGCGAGGATCTTCTTCCTGTTCTTGTACATCTGGCAGACGGCGGCGCGGGTGACGCCGAACTCGCGGGCCAGCGCCGCCTGGGGCTCCCCCTCCGCGACGCGCTTGATGATGGCGCACCGCTCCCAGTGGTGGAGGTAGTTGGGCTTCTTCCTCGCCTTGCGCATGGCTGGCTGCAGCAGCAGCAGTGGTAGTGATAGTGGCGGGAACAGGCCTCTTCTCCTCTGGCTGAAGATACCAACGGTCTGTGGCCGAGTGGCGACCAGTCTCGACCACTTCGGCCACCCTGGACTCAAGCTCATAGTCACTAGTATCCAAGTCTCGTGTTCTCGGTTCGTACGCCTACGCTGCTGTTGCGCTCGGCCGCGAAACTCCATCCTGTTGTCAAAAGCCACAGTGCCGGCCACACCCTCCAGCCAACAACGGTCTGCCCTGGCAGCAAAGGGTCGTTTTACGATTCTATGTCGAAAGATTTCCGTTGCTTACCGAGAATTTGGGATTTACAGAGTTCAAGCCACCGGTTCTTGGCGCCAATAAGTGCCCTCAACGTCAACGCTACAGCTGCCACACGGCTTCTTGGGCAAGTCAACATATAAAGCCGATGCCGATATGAGCGAAGCACTTCGATAGTGGCCTGGAAAGAGTGGCGAATCCTGATGAAGTTAGCTAGCTGGGCCTGATCGAATACTATGTGGAGGGAGTTAGCCTGCTCCGGCGTCGATTACTGGCGCAATATAGCCTGGGCCGTGGTGGTCCACGCCGCGTGGTTCATGTTCATGGGCAACGACGAACAGGGCCCAGCAATGAAGTCGTCTGACCGAAGAAGGAGTTGCGCCATGCTCGGGCTACTGCTTTGACTATCATACTACTCGCATGAAGAGGCGAGTGACGCTGATGTACTGCCCTCATTGGTGAGTGAATCCACTCATCCTGACTTCCTCTATCAGGACGACAAACATCATGGAGACTCGACGAAACGCGAGTCGGCATTTCACGTCAAGTAGGGCCATTAGACGGAGTGACTGCGTTCCCGACAGCAAAAGATATATTTGGTGCATGGGCCGCAGAGAATAACAGCCCGCCGATTGCCACCCTGGTGTAAACAGGTGCGTACTCATGAACAAGCCCAAGAGAAGAAGGATACCTGAGTGGCGACGACGTGGGGTTGGTTGTGTAGCTTTCGTTGCATTTGCGTGTTGATGAGTTGGTGCAGTGACGCGCCCGCTGCTTTCTTTCAACGTTTCTAATCTTGATCCCCGTCATCTGCCACCCTCTTGATATCGGCAAAATTTATCCCACACAAGTTGACTTGAACTTGGAAACAACAGCTAACTGGCGAACTGGATGATCGTATAGTTCTGTATCCATTTTGCAAACCAACAGAGGGAACCTTACGTGATCTTGCGTCGTGGTCACGCGTTCAGGTAGTCCAGATAGCATGGCATCAAACATTTCGACCGCTGCAGCGGTCCATTTTGTCGCGAAAGAATTTCGGGGGTGACGTAACAGACAGCACCACCTTGGACATGAACAGGTTGGTGAAGCGACAATTGTTCGATCTTAAATCTTGCAGCTAAGTTAACATATCGACGTTTCACCTAGCGCCGATTGAAAGATGACGTAGCGTTGAGTGCGCAGCGGCAGAATTAGCGTCCGAGATTCAAAAAAACAAATTAGTGGTCTCGAGTGTGGCTATGGTGGCAATGATGTCTTATCTCCACTGTACACAACGAACCTCGTACACGACGTGAGTGACCGCTTGCCAATCCCTGAGAACCACTTCGCAGCTCGCGACGTGATGGCGAGTTCGCTCTTCGGAATGTGACACACTACGGCTTTCGTGGTACCGACGTATTAGCTCATGGATTCTTGGCCACGTTGATCTGCAAAGAAGTAAAAACATCACTAAATGTCAGAGCAACCAAACTACACTGCAAGGAGAAATTAGCTCATCAGGGCCTCCTCTGTGCCATGATGCTGGCATCCTTGTCTGACAAAGAGAAATAAAAACGAGCGAGTGCGTGGCTTAACAATTAAAGAAAAAAATCACATAACATACCGATTTTGCTCCACAGAGAAACCTCTTTGCGGCGTTTACAGGGTTGAGATTCACTGAAACAGGTTCTTCATTTGCCTCCATTTGTAACGAGCGCTATTTTAGTCCATCAGGGACGCACAGTGGCGCCGAGCGTACCTCGTTGTTGCTTGCCTTCGTTCGTCTTTTCTCTATTTCCACACTCCCGAGCTCTCCAATAACGTCATTCCTGCAGGGAGTTAGCAGTAACTTAGCACAGCCAGGCCAATATCAAATGGATCTTAACGGCTTCCCGCACGTGGGCATCTTGGGAACAGCTCCGGGATTGTGCACAAGCGAGCACGGCACGAGCACGGATTCCCAGACCGCACGTGCGACCCACCTTGAATGTTCCCGACCGATAATCGAGCCCTATGGTAGCTTGGTGCAGAACCTACTAACCTCAGCAAAAACAAACCGCTACGCCTGAGGCTGCTAGAGGAATTAAATATGTTAGCAGCGTCTTAACAGCCCGCTTTAATGCGCATGAAACAAAGCAAACGCAGCGGCACCTCATGTTTGCCGGGCGATCGAGTTCGGGAGCCTCAACGCGCTCACAAAATAAAAATTGTTGTAGCTTACGGCGGTTTTCGCGTCAGGAAGCGTATTGCCGGGCGCCGAACCTCACGGGCACAATTCGACGGCAAACAGTATCCGCGATCACTGAAAGCGTCACAAAGTAACAAATACCGCACAATCAGCATCGCGTTCGGATACCCAACAACGGATTTCCTTGCAGAAAGCTGAATAACGTAAGAAAAATAGAAGCAGTGAAGTGCCGAACACATCAGTTCACAGGGACTCCTACCCAATTCGTTGCTGTCGTCGTGCCGATTGCTATACATTGCTGCACGTGGTGCTATATGAAAAGGCAAACCACAGAGCGATGAGGCAAACCCAAGAAACCTAATTCCAGCGGCAGTTCCTGAATAGCTAGCGTCCACACGCGCAGCGACCGAGCTGCAGTAAAATAAAGAAACTGTCCCGAATACTCGCTTCGATGACCTCATCTAAACACCGAGCAAGCGTTAGTACTTCTACCTGTAGATCTAAATTGGCAAGATGGCATCGAACAGCTTTGAGCTCATTGTCGCAAAACCTTCTGCCAGCGACAATGTCCTTGACACGGGCAAGCATACGAGCCTACTAGTCATCAATCAACTTACTTCTGGCGCGCGCTGCGACGATACGGAGCGCTGATTGTAGCCGATGATGCGTCAGGGTCTCTCGAGTATTGCTGAGCTTGGTTCGGAACGCTATATACAATGGCTTCCGGCCCAGGCCTGTCCGACGTGCGGATAATACGCACATGATCAGAGCTGCCCTCGCGTCTGAACTCTCAACCTGAACGTGTAGCTGTGGTGAAGCATCGGTGGCGACCCGCAGAGAGCTCGTCGAGGACGTGCGGGTTGGTTGCTCGCTTCCTGCTGTATGGACACCAAATGCACCGCCACTTGAAGCGATCCGGTCTAGCTGAGCCAGCAAGATTCGTCTGTCTTGCAACGCCTAAGTAATCATCCAGATGACCCGGGTCAGATCATCTGGACGAGGACGCTGCCAGATGAGAAGGGACTCTGCCCAGTACACGTTACGGGCTAAGTAATAATCAATATTGACGAGGACGAGTTCAATGTGGTGATTGCTCTGCAGAACCCAATCGCCCAGCATGGATTCCAGCATCGGCATCAGAGCGGTTTGGTGGCTCATTATTCGAAGTCACAACTCTGTATCGACTATCTCGAGAATATGTTGCGAGTATGGGAACGTCAGACCAAAGCTCGACTAGCTTGTAGAGCGCACGCGAGGAATGTACAGAAGACGTCGCTTCAATCAAATACGCTGGTTTCACCGTTATCCAGCGTCGTACTACGCTATTTAACGCTTCCACATTATACAGCAGCCTATCATTCCAGAAGTGGAATGCGATCACGATGTCAGTATACACCTGGATCTTCATCGTTGTAGCGAGCTATAAAGTCGCCGAGCCCCGGGATGATTGCTTCTGTGCGGGGATCAATCGACTTGTCGATTGCTGCTGTAACGACGCGAACTTCTGCGTTGTGCACACCAGGCAGCAGACGTGTAAGTTTTACCTGTGCCCGCGCTCGGATTGAATGACAGAGACGCACGTGGGAAGCGACTGCAGACTGCTACAACTCCGTCCGACGCGCTCACGATCGAGACGAGCGTGATGCTTTTCTCAAGAACTCCGACACCACAGAGAGCCTACACATCGCACAAACGAACTGTTAGTCGGTTCCAGATCTGCAGGAGTTGTAATGCACTGCTATTAATACGCTTCGTTGTGCACACCTCGATGGCCTTGCATTCGCGCCCTCCAGTGCTGCACGTAGCTGTGAACAACAACACTTTGCACGATGCGATACTTGCCGGTAGATCCATTCGATCCAGGCGCCATTGGCGACGACCTCGCTGGTCGACGATGGAGTTGACGTGGATGTATCCTAACACCAGAAGAGACGTAGTTGTAAGCTGAGTAGCTGATTTCCATAAGCATCACGGACGTCTGTATGCGAGCAAGTACATACCTTCTGCGGCGTCGACCTCGACCTGGTGGAAGAGCACAGAGAAGGGATATCCCTCATCGCCTAGCTTGATCCCACAGAGCTTATGTCTCTGCTCGATTCCGGTGGTGACATACCCGCTAGTCGTCGTGACTTCCACTGCGCGGGCGTCGAGCTGTCCGAGCACATCTTCGATCAAGATCCTAGAGAGCATAATGAAGTGTCGTCGTGGACAGAGGATTAGCACTAACAGGTCAGCGTGTTACCTCCATACACGTCAGAACATACATTATAACTCTCCCAGCAGCACGGCGGAAAGTAGCAGCGTCTGATCGACGGTCACGCAGAGTCGTGAGCAGCAGCATGACCGAAGGGGTCCGGACCTCGTGGACGAGCTGCTGCTCTCGCGCTGGTCCCGTCGTGACTGAGTCCTGCATTCCCCTGTAGCACACACAACGATCTGCATGAGCGCCTGATAGCGAGAGCGTAATTCTCCACCAGCACTTACGCCTCTTGGGCCACGGGTCGGGACAGGATCTCGAATCTGTGCTTCTGGATGTGACATACGGCGGCTCTGGTGACGCCGAACTCTCGCGCTAGCGCAGCCTGCTGCTCTCCTCCAGCGATCCTCTCAATGATCTGGCATCGGTCTTCGTGGCTGAGGTAGTGTGGCCGCTTGCGGGCCTTCTTGGAGCTGCTGGATGCACTCGAGGGCGACGGATTATCTTCTTCTTTCGTCTCTTCTTCATCGTCTTCTTCTTCTGCTGCTGCGTTGTTCTCGTCCTTGTCCATTGGCAGTTCAATTGACAGAGCTGCAGGCTGAGGAGTATTTCGCGTGCGCGACCTCGTGGCCGGTGGTTTGTCCTCCTCCAGCGACCGCTCGAGGAGCTGACGCATGGGCACTACTCGCTGCGGAGACCACGCGTCATGGTCGCGTCGGAGTCCACGACTGGGCGTCATTGGCTCTCGGGCGACGCGAGACTCGTCCCCTCCATCTGCCGAGCCGATCCCGCTCTCCCACTGCTCTGGGCGGTCTCCACTATCCATCGCCTGTAGCACTAACCCTTGGAACGTCCCGAGCTCTTGTGGTGGTGCCTGCTGCGAGTGGGTTTCGTCACGCGCGAGCCTCATCCGTTGGTCTGCCAGGACGCCGACGTACTTGTGGGATTGTGAGAGTACGGACGGAAGCGCCGTAAAAGTTAGTTAAGAGGAATCAAGTGAAGCAGATTATGTTTCGTGCTGTGTTCGTAGTTCGTGCGAGGCAAGTACGGCGCGGGGGGAAGGGACTTTTCAGCGAGATCATTTTCGGTCAGTAGTGTGACGTCGAGAGCTTGAACGGACACGCGATTGGCTCCAGCGACGTGCTTCCGCTGCGTCTCTGGGCTATTTGCAGACTCCTGGGACTCACCAGGATGGTCAAGTTTTTATCCGCTCCTTCTCCAAGCGTTGGGGAAGGTCAGGAGCTCATGGAGGAGGACTATTGTCTTGCGTAAGATTAAAGCTCAAAAGTGCAGTTTGACACCCAGCTGGGATCAACTGGTCGTCTGCTAGGGCTCTTCATTTAACGCTCTCGTGCTTTTCCATCGGTACGTACGCGCACCCTGACTCTGCGGCTGTTTCCATGACGAAACACATTCTCCATCCTTTCGGTTGCGGTCCGTCAAGAGCGTCTTACCAAGTCGGGCGGACGTATCCGCCTTCCTCGCTCGTCGCTCTTTTCTCGAGCTTGGACGTGCAGCTTCAAAGGTGAGGATGGATGACTGGCACTTAGTATTGTCCTGAGGACGAGGCAGGTGTCAGGAGCAGCTAAGGGGCAGCGAGTGAGCGAGTGCTGACGCCTCGGATAAAAACTACATCACGAACTTGGTCCCGTTTTAGACTGATGAACGAGGACGCGTGGGGCACTGTGGATTTGTTCGTGGGCTAATTCGAGTCGTCTGCGATGGCGAAGCAGTTCACTCAAGCTCATTATCGTTTGTCAACGAAGGCCATCGGAGACTCTCAAACAACAGGAATGTACGTGTACGAACTTCGTACGCAGGTATTGTGTAGATTCTCAGGAAGTGGCACTATGGGCCAGCGCGAAAGGGCATCAATGTCCGGAATCTGAAAATCGGGACAAAGGGATGGGGGAGTGAGTGACCTCCGAGTGCTGCGCTGTATGTCTGCTTTATGACGATGAAGACAATGATAAACTTGGTGAATGAACTCTTGACATGGGGTCTCTTGTGTGCAACAGGAGCCGCCATCTTGGGGATAATAATGCTGCAGTGTGTTTGAAGAAGGCGGGGCCTGATGGGATGCGGGGCGATGTCTGGAATTTCGCCTAGAGGTACAAGATACATCTGCGCCGACTTCAACTTGCCAGGTACGACGGTAAGATGCGCCACTAAGGCTGCTGTGGATGTCGATGTAGAGCAGCAGACACCATCGCCGTGGAAGGTACGAGAGTACGAGAAGACTGAAGCCTCGAGAGGTACACGCCCCCGCGCACTCGTTCCAATTTCGACGGGCGATGGCCCTTTCCGGCACGAGGTAAACTGTCCGGTCTGAATGCGCACTCGTGCTTGCCGCGTTTGCTCGCGAATAAGGTTTGTCGAGGTTACTTACGCTGCACTACATTGTATACCGTGCTTGTCGAGCGAGAGTAGCTCGTCAAATGTTGTTTAGGCGCTGCTCGGCTTCACAAGTTGATCTAGAGAGGATACACCCAGACGACAGGTACGATATGAGCTCCAGCCCTCGCCTTTTGAACTATTCTTGTTGTATCTGTGTAGGGGGACTGCCCACCTCGCCGGCCAACACATAGGAGTAACAATATTCCACAACAGTTCACTTTGTGAGAACAGTAAACGAAGCTGAAAGCAGTGTTTATCGTGTCAAGAAGTGTCGCGAGGGATCATGAGTTTATCAACGCCCGGTGATTGATCGTACCGCAAAGTAGGCGGTGCATGTACAAAACGTGGATGACCGCGTGCTTGAGGTCCAGAACGCGAGACCTGAGGCGCCACGTGCCAGTTGATAAATGATCTTCTTTAGTCTGCCGCTCGCACGTTGGTGTAGTCGCGTTAGAAACGCTGTCTACCGTCGGCGGGCATGCAATGTCTTTGGCCACGGCTTACATCCGAGCCGAGCCGAGATACTTTTCACAGACTCTGCCGGTGTCTTCAGGCTAGCGTGGGTTAGGCAGGTCAACGACAATACATGTAGAGCTTTGCGGAGGAAGTATCCTGTTCAGAATACGCATTTAGCAGAGATCCTTGTCCCTATGCCGATGTGATGTGCACAGTCCACCACTACGGGGGAGAGGGATGCGCTGCTCCATGTTGGCGGGAAGGAAGACTGCAATGTGACGCCGCGAACACACTCGCCAGGTTGCTTATTTGTGTATTAAACTGCTGCGCAGTCGATCACCGAGCCGGCGACATCACGATGCTCGTGACAGAAACAAGCTGACCTCCATCTCACCGCCTCCCCTTGAAGCTGCGAAATGCTACAGATGATTTTCCCACGCAGAGCGGGAGTGCCACGCCAGCAGCCATCGCTTGACCCCCACCTGGCCCCCTCATGACGGGCTGGCTAGATCAGGCTGCCCGTCAACGTCCACAGTTTGACCTTGGCACTTGCACTTTTTCTCTCTTCTCGGCAAAATACGACAAGTACGATAGACAGCTAGCTCACCAGGGCCACACCAGCATAGGCCGTAGACGGAGTACATACTTGCTGCCTGCGGTACAACGAGTAGGACGGAGATGCATCCGCGACGCAGCAGTTCCGGTCGGCCGTGGCCGACGGTACCAGCTACCGTCGACCACCGAGGCATCTCGCGACGGCAGATCGTAGGAACCAGCCAAGCTACGAGGGAGAACGTCGTCGACGCGGAGAGATACGCTGACGTCTGCTACCAAGATCGACGTGAGGGTTTTCCTCGCCCCGTCGACTATCAGGGGCTTCAAGGTGGTCCTGGAGAGCTCTGGGCGACGTCGGCATCATATCCCGCTACTCGGGCAACTCAATTGCAAGCGTCAACAATGCAGAGCGATCGACTTGGTCCATCGTATCAAGACGCCACGCCAGAGAACCAGAACAATATTCAAGGAGTTGCAACAAGGGCAAGTCCTCGACGAAGTGTTCGGACAGCTCGCACCCCGAAACACCAGAACGGTGAGGAGCAAGAAGAAAACGACGGGGATTCGTCTCCTTGGAGTTCCTCGACGGACAACAAGAAGACCCGCAAGCGGCCACATTACCTCAGCCATGAAATCCGATGCCAGATCATCGAGCGGATTGCGGGAGGCGAGCAGCAGGCTGCACTAGCGAGGGAGTTCGGCGTCACGAGGGCCGCTGTGTGCCACATCCAGAAGCACAGGTTCGAGATCCTGTCGCGACCCGTGCCTCAGCAAGCGTGAGATCACCTATCAATCTGTAGATAGGGAGGGTGTTGTCCTAACATAACGTATTTATTATCTTTCCTTGCAGTCGAGACGAGGATGCGATTGGGTCTGGGTCAGCGCAACAGCTCGTGCATGAAGTACGGACGCCCTCAATGTTCCTGCTGCTTACAACGCTGCGTGACCGTAGATCAGATGCCCCCACCTTCCGTCGCGCCGCTGGCCGAGCCATCATGTGCGCTGACTTGCTGTCTGTTTAGAAGTTGGGTTAACTTGCTCACAAGCGGATTGTGTTCGTGCATAGGATCCTGATCGAGGACGTGTTGGGCCAGCTCGACGCTCGCGCTGTGGAGGTCGTCACTGCAAGCGGCCACATCGCCCCAGGGTTAGAACGAAGAAGCCCGCTGTGTGCTGTGACGATTGGAGACGAAGGCTTCCCATTCTCCATGCTCTTCCACCAGTTTGAAGTGGATGCCGCTCAAGGTATATCTTTCAGCAGTCCAGATTCGTCATGAGATGCCCCGCCCCAACTGATCGGTCGGTACCCACTGTTCAGGCTACATCCACGTAAATCGCGCCGTCGACCAGCGTGGCCGTCGCTACTGGTGTCTGGAAGATGTGGACCTACCAGCCTCCATCGCTTCGTGCAAGGTGCTGCTATTTGCAGCAACCTGCAGCACTGGCGAGCGCGAGTGCAAAGCCATTGAGGCACGTGAGTTGGGTCGCGGCGAGGCTTGTGAGTTAGTCGTCCATCAGACTAACTTGTATATGTGTTGTAGACGCTCTGTGATGTGGGCACGATGGAGAAAGATATCACCCTCGTTTCGATCGTGTGCGCGTCGGACGCGATCGTGGCTGTGTGCAATCGCTACCCGCGTAGGTAATATCAAGTTTTTGTACGTTCATAGTGTTGACACTGTTTGCTACGTATCGGCAGAGGTCCGTATCGTCACGGCAGCGATCGACAACTCAGTGGATCCGCACACAGAGGACGTCGTTCCCGGGATTGGCAACTTCATAGCTCGCTACAACGGCGAGGAGCGTGCGCGCGTGAACGTTTGAGTTTCAAGGTATTCGGTGATCAAGGGGGACTTACAGGGGCAGAATCATTACGATAAGCTGTACTAGCTGTTAAGCAGGAAGTAACACTCACACTTCTTCGTGTTTTTTTTTCATGGCCACTTCGTCGTTCATCATGTCCTCGTAGTGACCACCTGATGTTGTGAGAAATTGAATTTCATGAGCGTATCTTGGGATCTTTTCAGAAATTGTCTACATAGTGTGCTCATCGGGGGCATTCAGCCTGAGTAAATCTATTACACTGCTTTACTGATAGAGGCGTCGGATACGTTAAATAACAGCCATTCGTTCTACAATGTTCATTACGCTACCTGGAGGACGATCTCCGATTGAGGTAGCTGGTGGAAGCCCACAGCAGTCGTAATAGGACCCGGGGGTCCAATATATGCTCAAGCGTCTCAACGGCAGTCCCCCCCGGCCGGACCTTCTCGCGACAAGCCGTATTATCGAAAAAACGAGTAGAGTAGAACTTTAAGGAAAAGAGGTCCATTCGATTCGTACTCACCAAAGCGTTCATCTTGATGCCCGTAACCTCATTAAAACAAGCCTTTTCATGCATGCGTGTTAGATTCGAACAGATAGGAGAAGTTTATCAGAGCTTGCACCAAGCATGTCGGAACAACTTGCGGCCTATATGTATGCGACGAGAATCGCTCAGAAACGATCAGCATCAATACACACATCGCGAGGCAAATGAAAACGACGAGGACGTACCGCTGTGGATGTACATGTAGCACCGTGGACATTACGGCTCACTCATGAAGAGCGAAGCCCTCATACCATTCTGCAGGAGAGCAGCGCGTAATCTGAAGCCAAATTACCAGTTAAAGCACGTAGTGTCAATACGAACTTTCAAGGTACATCAGAAAGTGGAAGCTTGGGAAACAACCCTGAGCTGCCTGGAGTGCGATCCAGGTATAGATATCCAACCCTGTACCTATTCACCCATGTATCGTGAGACGTATTCCGAGCACTTTATGCCCCGCACAGTACTGTCGTATACCTCCACCGTCAGGGTCAAGTACGCTGGGACTGTTTGGAAAGAAGGGGCCTACACGGGGTCGAAGTTGACTGGGTGTTTAGACGAGTGAAAGCTTCAACAAAAGATAATCTTGTAGTTGTTACAAAAGCTTTCTTTGTGATTGTTGTTGTTCACAAGACAGGGAAGATTTACGACTGAATCTAGAAGCCGAGGGTCGGCACGGCCGCCCTCGATCCTAAGGTCAATACCTCTCCTTGCGCTTCTCGGAGTTGCAGGTGTACCCTTCGATCTTGGGCACGACAACCCCTCCGCATTCACACCATATTCCGTTGTTCCGTACGCACGACACCGTCCTCGAGCGGGGATGGAGACGTCCACGGACCTCTAAGAGTCCCACCCATCATTTCCGGCAGCAACTCGAGTACCTCACAATCGGTACCCCTCGTAGGATATAGCCATTTCGGCACTCCAGCCGACACGCGAGTCCGCCGCCCCGATGCCTGGCACGGGGTCGGTATACCCCACGGGACAGTACACGAGAGAGTAAAGTCGTTCTAAATTCATTCTGATGAAGCTTGCCTTCTGTTCATTCGTCTTCGTCCTGAGCCGAGACAAAGTTGCATCCTTCCCCATATATAAATAAATTTCGGATTAATGCGTACTACGAGCACGACAACTAAACGTGGAAAAAGGGTTCTCACGTCTTCATATTAGCCCCACAGTTCGATTTTGCCTGCTCGTCGGTCGAGGCTCGTGATTATAGCTACTGGTTGTCTGCTGCGTCCAAGCTACCGAAGTATGTTCTTCATTTTTGCCTGTGTCCGTCTCTGTAACGAGTTTAAAGTGGATAATTGCGTGTACGTATTTTCTGACGAGTTGCGTGTGAATCACGATGAGGTCATGAAGCACCAAGTGAAATCGGAGATGTTCGTGAGCGACCACTGTATAGACCTCTCCGGTGACCCAATGTACTCCTTGTAGCTCATTCGCACGACTTCATGTACGTAGCGGGGGAAAATACTTCGAGGTGTAGATGACGATTGCATTTGTCCTCCGGCAGCCTGCCGAAAAAGTGGTACTGTACCTGCCGCCGGCAGGTACAGTACCACTTTTCATATCTTCCCGGACTACCGTCAACTGAAGGGGAGCACGAGAATCGAAGTTACAGGGACCAATCGGCCTCATAATCGTAACTGAGTGCACGTTCGAGAACTGGTGCATTCGCTGCGCGTAGCGGAGCGCGTTGACACGACAGGAGGCAAGATACATGAGCACTGGTGCGCATATTTTCGAATGGGTATTCTCTCCAACTGAATTTCTTGCGGGGCGAACGATCACGCCGACTTTGTAGGTGACGTACCGCTATCGCTGGGCTTAGTGGCCATCTAAACCAATGCAGCTCGACTGCATCAACTCGAAGAAGATGCAGCAAGTTTCGCTTGTGAGGAAGCAACTTTACTGGTTGGCTGCCCTTTCAAGGTGCAAATACTTGCAGTGTTTTTGATCAGTCTACAAAACAAGGGCTTCATTCACATCCAGCGCGCAATGATACCAGGTCAACAACGTACAACCTACATGTACTTGGAAGTTCCCTAGTGCAATGCCAAGTTACATGGCTTCGGTTTCGAGTGCACGCCGTTCGCAGGGAAACCTTACATGCCTGCTCTCTCCAAGCGGACGATAACTTTGCAGTGCTGTACACTGCGCAATGGTAGGTCCGCCCCTGTTGTAGCTCTGAGCAGGTGAGCAACAACAGAACGGACCTCGACGAGGCCGCAGTGGGCGGAAGTTCGCTTCGCATATTCGCAGCAGCTCCTGACGACAGTTTGACTTGTGCGGCTTGGCGAAGCCGTGCAATATGACGAGCGCGCTGGATATCTGACTCAGCTCAAGACTTCGTCTGGGTCACCCACAAACTTAGTGCTGAACTATGTGCTTTACAGAGAGGAAGAGTTGACATTCCACGGACACTATTACTGTATATAGACTGGAAACACAGCTCCACAGCTCGCGGAGCCCGGGCTTCTCGGTGGGGTATTACTTCGCCGCGCTACGCTGCTTGCTTTGCTCCATTGGCCCCCGCCTCAACGCTACGCAGTACATGGAGCAGCGCCATCTGGCCGCGTCCAAGCAGCTGAAGCTCTGGCCATAATGCAAGCTGAAGCACGTGGCCTGCAATGCAGGACTCGTACCCATCGAATATAATAACTCAGGCGCGCAGCCGCCACAGGAATTTCAGCATCAGGTACACTCACGTTGGACTCGTAGGCCTGCAACGTGCTCGGGACAACAGCAAGCCCCCCATAATGCGTCGCCAACGGCTCGGATAGGCGGCGGCAACCCAGCGCTCTTCGCTAACGCCCGAATTTTCAGCGCGATTACCACGATGCGACGAAACCCACTGCATAAATAGACAGTAGGGTCTGATGTGTAATATCGCCGGGTAGAGCTTCAAAATGAGGTATTACCACTGTTCAGAGGGCTCTAACTATTGACCGTTCTAACTTCGCACAGCAACCGCACAATTGGAACCCGCGACCGCGAGCCCTCCTTCGCCAATTCCCACAGTACTTTCGGTGCGTTCCGCAGGACAACTGGACCCAGCACCGCCGCGGTCCTCACCGCCCGCCAGCTTGCGCTCGCAGCTCGCCGTCGGGGCTGCACACGCAGCGCGTATTCCAACTCAGAGGATTGCGCTTTCCGCCGCGCAGCTGACCACTTATCCCACTCCGAAACTTTCAGCCAATGGGCACGCTCGAAAAATCCAGGCTGCGCTTGAACCTGCCGCGCCTTTGCGCTTCGCTGCATACAGGTTTCAGATCTAATACCTCTATATCGCGATAATTAAGATATCATCTTTTGTCGTAAATAGATTGGAAATGCCTCCTATTACTAAATCCCTCTCGAATCACCGCACGATTCAGACAGTACAAATTGCGCGCGACAAGCCTCTCCCACCATGGCGAGCGATAGCCGCCGCTCCGGGTAGACAGTCGCAAAAGAACGCCTAGGCACGCGGAACGGAAGGCGCGCGGCGAAGCGAAGCGAGCAGATCCCCTAACAAGTAGAGGACCACCCACACACGCAGCTCTACAGCACTACACACACAGCTACAGCTACACACACACACAGACACAGGGACAGCATGGGGCTCCGGACTCTGGGCGCGCTGCTGGCCACGCTCTGCGTGTTGACGACGACGTCCTTGGTCGCGGCCGGCGACGCGGCGACCAACAGCACCAGCTCCAGCGCCAGCATCAGCACTAGCGGCAGCGGCAGCGAGACGGTGGCGCAGCTGCTGGCCGAGGTGCAGGCGGCCGTGGCGGACGACCCGGCGCTCGCCAACATGTTCGACATCTCGAGTGCCAGCCAGATGAGCGAGGAGGAGCTCACGACGCTGCTGCAGGAGCTGCTCGACGTGAGTCTAAGCGGCAGCAGCTCCAACTCGAGCGCGAGTTCTTCATCTTCCGGCTCCCTGACGGCGGCGTCCGCCGAGTCGACGCAGAGCGCGTCAGCCGCGGGCTCCACGGTCTCAGGCGCAGCGACGACGACCGTTTCGCTGACGTTCGCGGTGCTGGCAACTGCGGCCGCGCTGGCGGCTGCGCTGTAGGCTAATGACAGACAAAATGCAGGGCGGGGGCGATCGCAAGCTCTACGCAGTTGGACTCCACTCGAACTCGCCCCCCCCCCCCTCCCCGCCCTGCCTGGTATTTTATTCATCGACGACGACACACAACACACAGCTCAAACCTAAATTCAAGTCAAAACCTTCGGATCAGTGGTTAACCTTTATTACCCAGTGAGCCCACGCGTGGGCTCACTTCAAAACGCCGATACTATTGTTGTCTGGCCTATTTAGAAAAACCCTTCCGCATATAAATAGAGGTCTGTTCAGCGCCTTTTGCCCGGCTTCAAACGGAGTCGTCTTCACGAAAAAATGTCCGGACAAAGATTTTGGTCGAGAAAATAGCGACCTGATCGCAACTTTTTGCTAAGCATGTTTTTAGAATCGGTGCTGGTATACTCAAGGTGTGCCTCTACGTATAAGGGAAAGAATGCAAGCCGCACAGCGTTAAGCAAGTACTGCAGTAGTAGCAACAGCGGCTAAGATTGGGCCAAAAAATGACCTATTATAGCTGTTCGACATTTTGTTTCTTAGCAAGAGCCGACCACATAACCACTTCAAATACTGTGTAGACTCTATTGTAAGCACTACCAACTCGATAGAGCGTTACTGGGTCACTGATTTACTCCCAAAGTCGGAATCCCTACAATTTCGTCATGGGTACAACAAGGTGACGCCTTATGGCTGTTGAAGGCTACAACCAGTTATGTCCCAACAGTGCATGCATCACGTGAATTCATTTAGCTTGCTGTGCTGTTTTCAATGTGTCTGTAGAGCTTGGCCCAAGCTCTACAGACACATTGGAAAAAAAATGATAGCGGTAATGGCCCAAGCAGCTTGGGCCATTACCGCTATCATTTTAGAGGACTACCAACGACTTTCCGCACTAACTATGATCTGATAAATAATTGCTGTTGCTTCTGGGGGTCCGTGGACCCCCAGAAGCGTGGCTAGTCACTTGTACTTCATTGTGCCATTTAGAGCTCTTTAGAATCAATTACATTGCTTTGGAAAGCGAAAACGTCTTATCTACAACTATTGTTTTTGAGCCCACGCGTGGGATTTGGACCGAGCCCACCGGTGGGCTTTGAGGCTGGGTAATAAAGGTTAAGTTCTCTAATATTTTTTTAAGGGGAAATTGTGTTTCGGGTCCGTTTTTTAAAATAATTCCAATTCGGGTCCGAAAATGCTGATATTATACTACCTCCGTTCGGAAATAAGGCAGTTTCAAACTATTTCCGATTTCGCAAGTTTTATATCCTCCTCAAGAAAGTACCTTGCTAAACAAATGTGTATCCTTTCGCATCATTTTGAAGAGGGATGGGTGGAGAGGTCCTGATTCGAATCTCCCGCCCAGTTCACTTCGCAAGTTCAAGGGAGAGCAACAAGCTGCTGCGACCGTAGAGCATGAATCAAGCCCCAAGCCGCGTGTGTGAGGCTCCTCAGTGAGTACATGATTGGGTAGACTCGCGCGGAACGCTCGTGTGCTAACGGTCGTGCTGTTTGTGCGTATGTATGTCCAGCATGATCGCAGGCTAAGGAAGATCCCAAGGCAGGAGGTAAGCGCGCGGCGTATGCAGGTCAAGTGGAGAGCGCGTCTAGACATCCAGAACGCGACTATGCTACCGTAGTGAACGCGCTTGCCAGGCTGAGCATCGAGTAGATCCTGGTGACCCCCTATAAGAATGAAGCTCTGCTCGCAGTCCTAAACATGCTGGAGGCGGAACAAGTACGCTGTGCAGCAGGCGGTGGACCATGTACTTCGCAGTTGATCTGCTTGTCTCTTCAGCCCGGCGAATTGCGGTGCCTTGCTGTGGTGGCCTTTAATGCGGCATTGAATGAGGTGGCCTCGATGCGCACCTCGGCTTGACTGTCGTTACCTATTCTGATTCAAAAATTGGTCGTGCTCTAATTTTGCTCTCTTTGCACAGCTTATAATTCACAAAAAACGAGGCGGAGCTACGCGCAATTTTTTTTGAAACTGCCCTTATTTTCCGAACGGAGGTAGTACTAGTATAAAATAAGCACTAAAAACAGCCGTTTAGGAAAATGAATACGTCAAAGCGTAGGACTACTACTATAATGGTTTCTTCATTAAAAAAAATATTCTTGTACACTATTTTTATCAGTCTACATATTCATGTATGAATGTCAACTGCAGTTTTATGGCATGCTTATACGTAACTCAACGCGTTTAAGGTAATTTACTTGTAGTATAGCGCAAAACAGCAATGCTGAAACTGGTTTTAGCGTTTTTTATCAGAAGTAGAGTGTGTTGGTAATATTCTCTGAAATATTAAAGAAGCTTTTTATCACTAGTTTGTAAGCAGTGGAACCTTATCTTGTGCCTAAACGATTATTGTTTTAGCATTGAACATGATTTTTTATGTGCATTAAGAAAAAAGGACCGTAAGATTTGCAATTGGGTACGGATGGCAATAGGGTGTGGAATAGTTACAGGGTACACTTTGGATACAGGGTACCTTGGCTTTTAAAACAACAAAACGAACGTTTGATTTGAAAATTACGGACCCGATTCGGAATTATTTTAAAATAACGGACCCGAAACACAATTTCCCCTTTTTTAATGTTATTCAATGTTGGTGAAGGAAGTAGAGCTTACTCTGACTGAAATAACACCTCAATAGTAGCCCCTCGTAGTCACTATCAAGATTTTGTATGGAGATAGCCCGAACCCTATAAAATGATTTTCGGCCGCCTTGAGACGTTGTTTCGGTCCGAGGAAGTCGAATCTCTGTATTAGGACTTTGTATGGGCTCGTCATCGGAAGCAACTTCTTTTTGCTGAAACAACATTTGGCAGTTATTCTGTGTTAATTGGCCAATGATCGACCACCTTGGGTAAAAAACGGTAGTCGACAAATTTTCTGGAGAATTTTAGATTTGATTTTTTTCTGAGGACTATGGTGAATTTTGAAGTGGGATCATACCAAAAAGTACGAGTTCATACCAGAATCTACGAGTTAATACCGAACAGTACGAGTTCATACGAAAATGTACGAGTTCATACAAAAAAAAAACATACGACTTCATACCAAAAGGTACGATGTGTGTGTACAATAAAGTACGACCTGGTCGGCTTCTCGCCACGTGTTCACTTTCAAATCGGCGCGATGGAAGTATGCTTGGCCATGTTCGACTTCGCCACGAGCTTAGGGCACGTAGGGCACTTGCCCTTCGGTGGACCGTCACCGCCCTCCATTTCCGACCAATTTCTACGACTGAGAGCCGGAACTCCCATTCAGGATTCCTCGATGCTTAGTGGTCAATATTTTTTTTGGCTGATGAAATAGCAGAAGGGGGAAGTCTCCTCGTGAGGCGAGGCGGGTGAACGCCTTGATCGTCCAGGTGTATAGCGCACTATGCCGGACCGAATGAATTCGGGTTCGGAGTACCAGAGATTGCCTTTGACGGGACACTGAATGACCCGGGCCTGGAACCGCTTGGACGCACCGAATCCAACTAATGCGGTCCGGTGTTTGGCGTGTGTCCTTGTGTCAACCCCTATAGGTATCGTTTACCTTTGGCGGACCGGATTTCACCGAGATGAGTTGTTGCGATACAGAATAAAGTCTGCTGGGTGTGTTCCTGGGATAAACCACACCGAATGAACAGAAGGTCAGACCGAATGAAAGGGTCCACAGTCAGATCCGAAGATCAAGCCGCCGCTTAAGGGGAACGTCCGCCCCTGATCCCGCGAGCGACGAGGAATGCGGATACGCCAAGTGCGAACAAGGTTCTGGGCAGGCTCGGAGAGGAGATGCGAGCTCAGAGCGAGTGGATGATGATGTTTGCCCCAGTGGCGATGGCTCAGGCGAGATGGCCGGTGCTAGGGCCCGAGCTGACTCAGCCGGTGAACAGCACCGACATCAACCAACTGGTCAAAGACACGGTGCTGCTACTCAAGGCGATGGGGTTTCGGTGCACGAGCCGACCCAACAGCCTGATACTCGGCGATTGGGACCCCAGCCAAGCTTCACACGAAATCCTCAAGTGGAAGCGTCGGTTGAGAGTCTCGTTTGGTCTCGAGCGGGGGGCCGTCTGAACTCGGCAGACTATTGCGAAACGAGTGGCTGATACTCCGAAGACCGTCGAAGACCCCAGCAGGATTCCCCTGCCGAAGACTCCCGAACGCAAGAGAGCCGAGGTGTTCCGCTCTACTGAGGGTACGCCGTATTTCGAAGATTCGCATATGAAGACGCCAACGCGTGGCAAGCAGCCAAGTGGACGCTACGCTGAGTTGTTTGACGCTGCAGACGCAGCCGAGCTCAGCGACAGCGACGATGAGCGCGAGTACCTGAACTCGGCTGAAGAGTCGGTGAAGGACGTCATCAAGTACCTTAGCTTCGATGACGCTGAAAGTGATCGGACGCAATACTTGGAGGTTCGCACCCATGCGTCCCTCGACAAGATCCCTATGTTCGAAGGAAAACGTTACCGACCGGATGACTCTCTCCAGTGGCTTAAGCGGTTCATCTACGAGATGAAAGGAACTCGGCTGGGACAAGACCTCTGGTACGAGCCATTCTCGCTGAAGCTGGAGCGAGGCGCGAAGAGCTGGTATCGCCAGCTCCCGAAGAAAACGCAACGGAAGTGGAGTCTGCTGAGTGAGGCATTCGCCGACTACTACTGTTCGCAGTTTGACCAGTCGGCACGAGCTCGCTATTACTCGGCTCAGCGCAAAGCCAACGAGCTGGTGTGTGACTTCCTCGTTCGTCTCAACGGATATGCGAAGTCGGCGAAAATCCAGTACGAGGCCAGTGGAGCGGATGCTGCTGACCATGTGGAACACTTCCTGTTGCACTGCGGAGATGATGACATCATGGATCTGCGCTATCCGCAACAGCTCACCGACATCAAGAAGGTCGAGAAGATCATCAACCAGAAGATCCTGGGGGAGCGCCGGAAGAAACATCGCGACCGTCTCATCGGAAGCCGCAGCCGAGATGCCAAGCGCACCGATTCGCCAAGGCACTCGGAAGCTCGGCGGAGTGAGCCGCGCCGAGATGACCGCCGGGATGACCGCCG